CCCTGTTGAGAGCTTTCGATTGCTGCTTTCCCGGTCATTCTACGACCATTGCATCGGTTCGAAAATTAGACCAAGATTACTACTCAGTTAGACGGGGGGGGGGGGCAGAATAGACGCGTTTACATAGGGTTTGTTGCAAGCTTATTTATCCGTCCGTGATGTTGAAAAAGATGCCAATGGTGCTTAACAATTTACAATATGATCCCCTCTTAATATTTAAAGACCACTGCATCGAAATTATCGCCAAATGAACGAGATAGAACCTCGTCAACAATGCTATGTAGACGCGACTTAGGTATATGTCTCCTCCCAGCAGGGAGCGTATCAAGATAACTTTACTACTCGCGCTATGGTTCAATCAAGATTACTTTATGGCTCAAAAGCCCGGCGGGGCTCCGGTCAAGTTCAAGTCAGTTCACCAATGACGAACTATACAGGGTGCGCAAAAAGTTCTGGCCTATTTCTGTGCTTCGATAAACGAATGCAATCGGAGTGAATATTATCAACGCTTACACCAAATATTGGTTTGCATTATCAAACCAAATACGTTCACTCACCTCATGCGCGATATATGACCCCCTATTATCGGCAATGACCTTCACACGTAGGCGGAAAGACTTGCATATCTTGATGATGTAGGTGGGGTCCTTCGTCTCACATCTTCACGAATCACGATGTGTGCCTTCAGGGCCTCCAAATTGGGATGGGACACTCCCTGGACCTCATCCTGCAAAACGCTTTAGATGCTTTAGTCAAGGGTTCAGGTCGGGTGACTGAGGGGGCAATATGTCATTAAGCCAACAATGGGCTTCTCCCCCGAGCTCCTCCGTTTGCTTGTGCTGGGTGGAACTTGCGTTGTTTGCGGGTGTAGTATCCTGCTGGAAAACGAAATCGACTTTTGGATACGTCTTCAGGATCCATGGGATGGCGTCACTGTCAAGCAGACGCTCGCCTCTTACATCGTCCCATTTATCTTCTAATTGGCGTTAATGAAGACGGTTGGGCACTTTTTGCCGCCCGAGCCGTGGGCTGGTCCTGGATGGCCTGAGACACGGCAGTCACATTCTCAGAGTTTTGACTGGACGTGACCGGTCTGACTTGGGGGCATATTCCAGGATCTCCCCTATTGGTATTTGGCTTTGATACGCGCAATTGTTCGCAGGGGGCTCCAAATTTCATCGCAACCTGCTCAACAGTCATGCCCGATTCGGCCGCGCCGCGCGCGGGTATCCAACAACAATGTAACGTTTAGCCTGCCTCCATGACTGGCCGTTAATGGTCTGCTTTGTTCGACATCTGGCTGTGTAGCAGGATCATTGAAGATATTGCGTGCGGCTATTGGCTTCCCGAAAAGCAACCGCAGCACGCGTAGGAGCGCTTACTGTAAGAAGGCCAGAACTTTTTGCGCACCCTGTATAGGGGAGAGTGGGGTAAGATGCCCAGGGTGGGAAAGACGCCCCACCCCCTCTAACGGGGAAACAATGAATCGAACCTGGAAATTAATGTTCTTAGCGTAAAGCGGAAGCCTGCCTTGTTAACTACACAAAAATTTGCGAAGCTCAGTTGGGCAACGGCTGGCTGGTGATTGCATGTTTTTTATTTGCTGCTTTCAAAAAATATTTTGGCGTCAAAACATTGTAAATATCAAAGAAGGTAGATAATTTTTGCGTCCCTTGCTATAGTCGTGATACATTAACATGCGTGTACTGTGTTCCAAACAGTTTGTTTCAGGGTGTAGTTTTATGGCTAACAAATTGTGCTGATTTAATGTTACTTCGGTACCTTGGGGTAAGATGCCCCCTGTCCTGATGGGGAAAGACGCCCCCCTAAATCCGTTGGCTGTCCTTCAAGCAGCCCGTCAAATCATTTATTACATACTTGCGATGAGAGACAAAAGCCGATCTGGGACTATTGAGAGTCCGGTACGGTCGGGTGCTCCCCATGCCGGTCTCTCGGCCCACACAGCGACTTTTTGGGCGGCATCTGATTCTGAGAGCCCTCAAGACGGCCTCTGTGGGCCCCATTATTGGTTCCAGGGCCCCTCACGACATCCTTTGAGGGCTCCCACGTTGGCTCCACGTGTCGCGCTGGCATCTGAGGTCCCCACGATGGGCTCGAGGGCCCTCAAGCATCATGAGGACCTATAAGGGCCCCACAGTGGTCTCCGAACGCCACCACGGAGGCTTGTTTGGCCACGCTGGACTATGATGGCCCTAACGATGACCTCTGAAGCCCCTTACGACTACTTTTGAGGGCCCTTACGATGACGTTTAGTGTCTATTGCAGGCTCGAAGGGAATACTGATTCGTTCGGGCGATTCACGTGCCTATTTATGTCACTTATAGTGCATAGGGCCTCTTACCCAACGTCAGGGGGCGTCTTTCCCACCCTGTGGGGTAAGATGCCCCCTTTCACTTCTTCAGGAAAATGCTTAATAGCAAAAAAAGTTATCATATTTCAGGCACGAAAGTGTGATATTTTTGGAGAAAAATGATGTCGGCTTCCGTTGAAACTCCAAGTTTTGGCTTTCCGATCGTCATTTTCGAATAATATATGACATAGTCTAACCCTGGGCATCTTTCCCCACTCTCCCCTAATATATCAATATAGGTACCTAAATCCTAATTCAATTTTGCCATAATTAAATTTCAATATGCCATAATAGCCGTTTTCACGACGGCCATCTGGTACACATTTGGTTGGTGCACATCTGGTACAGATTAGGTGCAGATTTGGTCAAATCAGGTTCAGTGTGTCTCTATGCCTGCTTTAACCCAGCCAGCAATTTTGCTCCGGGCCCAAGCAGGCTCAAGTGCGGATTGCCCGAGATTTTTAGTCGGGCTAAAGTCGGCTAGGGCTTGGGCTAAAGTCGGCGTATGACACAGAAACGCCGACTAAAGCCCATGCTCTGTCGGAGGTATGCCCGCTCTGCGAGCTCGGGGCAGCCGTAGTTTAGCCCTAGTTGAGCGACGATTGGCGTTAGCCCGATTTAAGCCCGAGCAGTGAATCCATTTATATAATGGAAATTACTCTGGGCCCGAGCGAGCTGAACTCCGGCAAGCCCACTCTGTGTGCCCTGTCTATCCCGACTTAAGCCATAGAAGTGAATGGGGTTTATACATTGCAAACTGCTGTGGCTTTGCTCGGGTTCGGCTCGAGTGACGGCTCCTGTTTTCTCAAGTCTCGACTTGACTTCATCTTGCTTTTGCTTCACCCTGGATCAAGTAGCAAGGAGCAGCCAATGCACTTTCAGCAGGTTGTGTGGTTTTAATGCATATTTAAAATTTCTACGGTCACTCATATGCTCTGTTAACCGGTCATCGAGCATTGCGAAAGGAAAGTAGTGGTTGACTTTGATTGAATGTTTATTTCAAACGACTACAGACACGTCAAATGAAACACAAATACATGAAACAGTGGACTGCAAACTGCAGCAATGATATGGCATGAGTCATGAAAAAGCGCCATCAAAACTATAAATCAATCACAAGACCCGCTAGCCTTCCTCCCCGTTCGGCGTTCATAATACTTGGTTGAACACTTAACCGAAAGCATAAAGTAAGGACAGCAAGTAATCGCTCATAAGACATAAAGCAATTAGCAAACAATCGTTTATAAAGAACTTCACTCTGGTGAATGGGAGCTTTGGAGGCGTCTGGCTCCTCCACACACACACATCTGCAGTAGGTGGTCGGCCAGCTTTCGGCGCAGTTTCCGTATATGTAGGTATACCTATTTAATTATAAGCAGGCAGTTTCCGCTAAACCACTTGGCGAGGGCGACAGCGGCGTCCACCCGGTCCTGGTTTGTATAACTATTCTATTTTTTGGAACAATTTGCTCTAATGGTACGTACCTGAAAAAGAGATCAATTGGTTTAATTTACATTGCATGTTTGCTTGAAAAATAACTTATTGTTGCATTAATACTGTAACAGCACTTCTCATTGATCCGTATAAAATGTTCATTCGAATTTTTCAACGCGGACAGAGAATGAGCGTGCTCGGTGATAAGTAGATAAATATTTGTGTTTTGTATTTCATTTTCCTGGTTCAGAAGTGCTGGTATTTCACAAAGATAGGCACGGAATGCGGCTTTTCTGAGCGAGGGTATAAGTCGCCAGGCTGAACAGCTATTCAGCTTCATGTTTGATGGCGTGAAACTCAGTCAAAATAATGACGTTTACATACGATCAAGCGCACCATTCAGTACAATTACCTACCGTAAAACTCCATGCCAGTCCACTTGATAAGAGCAATGAGCACTATCCCTTCTTCGCGCTGTCACACGCGCCCAAACATCAACCACCAAATGCCCCAACACCGGTGTGTCGTTTCGTCGCACAGCGCGCAGACTGTCACAAACGCTGCACATGATTGGCGCAGAACTGCGCATGCGCGAACAGCCGAACAAGTATGGCTAAACTCCGGCTTTACTCCAGTTAGCCGAAGGACACAGCCAGCTTGATCAGCCCGCGCTCCGCCCAAGTTAAGCCTGTTTTGGATGCGTGGGCAGATGTCGGGCTGAGCTACTGCTATCCGCACGTGGGCATAGCTGCGGCATGCCCAAGCTCAGCCCTAGTAAAAAATACATTGGTTTTGATCAAAGTGGGCAAACCCAAGCTAAGCCCAAGCTGCCCGACGTTTGCCACTGTTCAGCCCAAGTGAATTGCTGGCTGGGTTGTCATATTATCAGAGAGCATCATCGATGAAAACACTGAAATGAATTCATAAAATGAAGATATTTGCTGTAAAAGAAATTAGGTGCAGATTTGGTCAAATCAGGTGCATTCGCCGGATAGCCCGTCGTGAAAACGGCTAATGCCTAATATAACATCATGGATGAAGGTTCTTTCATCCATGATAACATTATCCCTCAATTTTGCCCTGTATGAAGGAAAACCTTTGTGAAGGAAATATTTATTACATCATCAATTCTATTACGTCAAAATTTGATCCTGAGTTATTGAGCAAACCTTGATCGGTGTACTGAGACGAAAACAGCGCAATCGTCAGTCAGCGAGAAATTCTTGTCGGAGTTGGAGTGGTGTTGTTGTGCTCTGGTGGTTGAACTGTTATTTATTCTGGCAATTATTTATTCTGGCAAATGGTTGTATATTTATATTGTGTGCGCTTCACGTAATTGCTTACATTGACTCACGCGAGAAGTCTGATGAGTGAAGGTAAGTTTGAAGCTAGTAATATCAGCCAAACGTTTAAATCTTCGTTAAAAAGGCCATCTATAGAAGGTACAGTCACTCCCCCACCGACCAATCAGACAGATCCTGAGTGACGTCACCCCTGATGCTTGCATGGGGTAATCCATTCCTAATCCAGTCTGCAAAGCATGGCAGCCAGCCAGCTCGACGAAATGTTTGGGGCAGACGGAATCTGCCCCAATTCACAAATGGGGCAGTTCAAGTTGTCATAAGGCTACGGGCAGCTCAATTTCTGTCCCAAATGGGGCACAGACACAGGACAGCTTAGATTATACTCTAATCATATCATATCTAGCTGCAAAAGCCCACATAATGATATATTACCTGTGTAAACGTTTGATTTGGATGCGTATATCAATATGAAATGAAACTCTGAAGAAGAATCATATCTGAATTGGGACAGATGGAAAATGGGACCTTATCTTCCCTTGCAGTGTGAATCAGTACTTACATGACAAGCTGTATGTCCTTCCATTACCAAGGTGCAGTTTTTTCCAAGGTGCAGTGCAGTTAGTTATCAAATGCAAATGCATAGGCGCGGGAGCCGGGGGGGCAGTGGGGGCAGCTTGCCCCCCCAACTCTGGGGCCGTGGGGGCGGTGCCCCCACAGCTTTGAGACGGAATACCACACTTTTTTGCAAATGTTTTCTTTTTTTGTTGAAAAAGCCGATGGGTGAAAAATAAGTGGCCTAAAACCGGTGAGAAAACTAGATTTGGGGGTACCCTAGGTTAATCTCTATTATGGTGTGCCCCCCCAGTCGGAAAGTAGTTCCCGCGCCCCTGTGCAAATGACAGCTACCTACCTAGCAATAATGGCTAACTTGTGTTTCTGCAGAACACCTTGGGCCAAGGTGTTGCTTGTTTGAAGCTGAAGGAAGTTGAACAATATAGGTTTTGAATATTTTCACTTTGTAGTGCTGGTGATATTGCATGTTTTACTTTGACTTCTTTACTTCTGCATAATCAAGCATATGGCATGCAGATTGCAGAATACCTACAAAAATGGATGAGTGCTGATATCAGTCGGGGAAACTATGGTAAAATCTGCTATTTTTAGCAGAAATCTGCTAAAAATGGGTAGGTAGGTAATCTGAAATGGGTACAAATAATGAATTTGAAAATAGTCGGTTCTGAACAAAAATAGCAGAGAACACTCTCAGCACTATTCTCATCATGAATCTGCCAGGCATTTGATGCGCATTTGCCTCAATTAGGGTGCAGATCTGCTTTTGTATGGGGCCGTACCCAAATCTGCTATATTTGGGTACGATGACGTCACATGCGTACCCATTTTTAGCAGATTTCTGCTATAAATAGCAGACTGCTAAAAATAGCAGATTTTACCATAGTTTCCCCGACTGATATGCTGTTTTGCAGTACCAGGAATGCCGAGGTCCTTTGTTGGAGCTTGTATAGTCGACTACAGAATGATGTTCCACTTTTCACAGGCAATTATTTGCCTGGAGTGGTAGGCTGTGCCGCATCACATGGGCTGAGTTCACAAATTATAGCTTTGTCCTAATGCTCACAATCGACAAGCTTAATTGCGTGATAAACGGCACAACTTAGCGCTCCGGTCAACTGTCAAGTATCAAGTGATAGCTTCTGAGGAGTGGAACATCATTCTGTAGTCGACTATACTCTCCCTTTGTTGTTCCTTTTAAATGAAGGTAGCTGTTGGCTTGGCTTTGTGACACTTAAAACCAAAGCTAATTTTTAGGGATATTGAAGGCAGGTTAGGTATCTTGAGAAAGGTGCTTATTGTGGTATGACCCATTAAATATCCACTTATTTTACCATTGATAGAACTTAACATATTTAAGCATTGGAAGAGATTTCAAACTAGAATTGTGTAGCACTGCCTATCAGCCATGTATGTGAATCTGAATGATGGGTCTGTGATCTAAATGGATCTTGAAGCAGATAACAAGCTAGGAGCTATGCTTCCATTGGATCCCACATGGAAAATATCTGCTGGATCTATGAACTCATTGGATTTGATGACAATCCAAGAACAGGGATCTAACAAATGATCCAGCTTGAATCAAAGGTTAGGCATATACAATGTCAGCCTTCTATCATCAGCGCCCCTTGAGCGTCCCATGGATCCTTTTGGCTCCCACCACATCTAACCATGAAACCATGTTTCCAAGTGGTTCCATGTCAATAAGTGCCTCAAAAAGGAGCGTTGTGATATATTATCACAGTACATGTATGTACATGTATATCCCCAAAACAGAAAGATTGCAAATTGTAGAAGATGATTTCAGGGTATTTATGTGCCAACAAAAGTTGAGTAAGGACTAAGGATCTATGGTCTCATCGAATCTCAGACAGGTTCGGATTCACGATCCCAACTGAGCCCTCTCTAGACAAATGAGAGGCCTGGAGCCATGATCCCATTGGATCCAAAACCAAGATCCATGGGATCAGATCCCAGAATTCGATTGTCTGGAATATGTGCACATGTCTGCTGCCTATGGTTACCTACCTAGCAAATCAGCTGAACTACCTATGATTTTTGAAGCACCTATCTTGCAAATAAAATGCTACCAGTCTCGAGAAAGTCTTCTAGTCAGTCTCTCTCTCCCTCTCTCTCTCCCTCTCTCTCTCCCTCTCTCTCCCTCTCTCTCTCCCTCTCTCTCTCCCTCTCTCTCTCCTCTCTCTCTCCCTCTCTCTCTCCTCTCTCTCTCTCTCTCTCTCTCCTCTCTCTCTCCTCTCTCTCTCTCCTCTCTCTCTCTCTCTCTCTCTCTCCTCTCTCTCTCTCTCTCTCTCTCTCTCTCTCTCTCTCTCTCTCTCTCTCTCTCTCTCTCTCTCTCTCTCTCTCTCTCTCTCTCTCTCTCTCTCTCTCTCTCTCTCTCTCTCTCTCTCTCTCTCTCTCTCTCTCTCTCTCTCTCTCTCTCTCTCTCTCTCTCTCTCTCTCTCTCTCTCTCTCTCTCTCTCTCTCTCTCTCTCTCTCTCTCTCTCTCTCTCTCTCTCTCTCTCTCTCTCTCTCTCTCTCTCTCTCTCTCTCTCTCTCTCTCTCTCTCTCTCCTCTCTCTCTCTCTCTCTCTCTCTCTCTCTCTCTCTCTCTCTCTCTCTCTCTCTCTCTCTCTCTCTCTCTCTCTCTCTCTCTCTCTCTCTCTCCTCTCTCTCTCTCTCTCTCTCTCTCTCCTCTCTCTCTCTCTCTCTCCTCTCTCTCTCTCTCTCTCTCTCTCTCTCTCTCTCTCTCTCTCTCCTCTCTCTCCTCTCTCTCTCTCTCTCTCTCTCTCTCTCTCTCTCTCTCTCTCTCTCTCTCTCTCTCTCTCTCTCTCTCTCTCTCTCTCTCTCTCTCTCTCTCTCTCTCTCTCTCCTCTCTCTCTCTCTCTCTCTCTCTCTCTCTCTCTCTCTCTCTCTCTCTCTCTCTCTCTCTCTCTCTCTCTCTCTCTCTCTCTCTCTCTCTCTCTCTCTCTCTCTCTCTCTCTCTCTCTCTCTCTCTCTCTCTCTCTCTCTCTCTCTCTCTCTCTCTCTCTCTCTCTCTCTCTCTCCTCTCTCTCTCTCTCTCTCTCTCTCTCTCTCTCTCTCTCTCTCTCTCTCTCCTCTCTCTCTCTCTCTCTCTCTCTCTCTCTCTCTCTCTCTCTCTCTCTCTCTCTCTCTCTCTCTCTCTCTCTCTCTCTTCTCTCTCTCTCTCTCTCTCTCTCTCTCTCTCTCTCTCTCTCTCGCTCTCTCTCTCTCTCTCTCTCTCTCGCTGCCGCTGCCGCTGCCGCTCCCGCTCCCGCTACCTCTGTCTCTACCTGTAGGTCTACCTCTCCTCCTTTTCCATTTCTTGCTCCTTCTCTCTTCCACTCTCCCCCTTTCTTTCCTTCTCCCTTTCCTTCTTCCACTCCCTCTCCATCCCCATTTGAACCATCTAACTAACTGCACGCCTGTCCCCAGCCATGAGTGTCGGAGCGCTCCGGCTGGCGGTGATCGCCCTGCTGGCGGTGGCTGCGCCTGTCTTCGGCCGCCGGTTCCACACGCGTGGCGAGCCTGCCGTGCGTCCGCATCACAGCTCTCGGCCCGTCGAGTTCCACATGCCACCCTATCAGCCCAAAGAGGTCAGTCAGTTGGCGCCCGTAGGCGGGACTTTGGGGGCTGAAGAAGTGTTAAGAAAGGATTGAGGCTGCTCTGAGCACGAGGACAATCTTGTGCTCTTTTTTACCACTTGGTGTACTGGTTAGACTGCTGTTTTAAATGAAATTATGTTGTGTTGTGCTGTGAGCCAGCAAACATATTGCCTACTTCATGCTTTCTGACCAAAGATGAATTATTCGTGTCGCCTGAACGGCACAGCGATACTGAGGCGGCAGCACTCCGAGTGTCTCTCCCGAACTCCCTCTCTCGGCCGAATGTTAACGATGAGACGACAGCATTATGTTTTACTGCTGGTCAACACACTAACGACGTGCAGGAAGGCAGATTAATGTCGCCAACCGGGGCCGCCGCGCGGAGCGACTGCGCCCGGCACTGCCGGCGCCCTCGGCTTCTCTGCTGGAGCTCTCGGCTGTTTGAACTTACTTTTGAGAAGCATCCGCCTTTAGTTGATTCACATATAACCCGGAGGGAAGTAAGGTAAACTGCTTCGCTCTGTTGTTTTATGGAACTTCCACGTTTGGTTTGATGGGTATATTTGCAAGTTCAGATCCTGTTCTGGGAATTCGAGTAGGAATATTGATTATAATTTATACATACGTGTGCTGGTATCGCTGAGTCGTTTTTGCATCTCCATTCTTTGATTCCACTTGTAAGTTTTGGTCTCATGCCTGCTTGGGTGTGGATTCACGGAGTGTATCTTCGTCCTTAAGGCGTAATAAATCTTTATGCCTACATCTTCTAAAAAGAACAGTTCCCTTGAGAACCGTTTTGACGTGCATTTTGGTAAAGGTCGAAACGTGCCTTACCTGTCGATCTATTTTTAATCGTCTACAAATTATTGGGTATTGGGAAGCAGTGGGAAATCGTATAATCAGAGACCCAAAGGTTTTTCAGGAGCATAGTAAACACCGTCCACGCAGTTGGTCCTCTGCGGATTTCATCCATTATGCATGCAAATTGCATATTCCCCTGGGGCCACACATGTAGTGACATGGGCCCACCTTGCGGCTCACTGATGAGTGATGACTTTCCCCACTCTAACCTGCTCCACTGCCCCGTGTCCCGTGCTTAACCTTCCAGGCGGTGGGGGGGGGGGCAATTTTTTGCCCCCCCCCCCCTTTAGTTTTTTCGATATATCTCGAGAACCGCTGCGCCGATCGTCACCAAACTTTCAGTACCCTCCCGGGAGCAGCTAGCGCACATGGTGACCAAAATTTTTCCAAAGGCTACGATAGGTTGGCCGCTAATGACGTCAGAGTGACGTCATTTTTGCCATTTTCGACCCAAAAAAAGGTTTCGCGGGAAGAGCTGTCAGGCCTACAGCTTTAGAGATACAGAAAAATGTTTTTGACATAAAAGGTGTGGAATTGACAGGGCTACAAAACTGCTATCTCGGTTTTTCGAATTTTTTGGATTTTGACCCCCAAAAATCAAAAAATAATTTTTTTTGAATATAATAGCCAAAAAATCCAAAAAGTTTTTTGAATTTCGAAAAAACCGGAATATATGTGATAGCCCCTACCGCCTTCTATCTACATACCAAATTTGAGATCGATACCTCTTTTTTTGGCCAAGTTATAGCGAAAAAACTGTTCAAAATTGATGACGTCAAATTTTCAAACTCAATTTTTAGCAATTCTAGACCTCGTAGCGCAAAACAAAGACCACCATTAGACTCCCCGTGACAAGCTGCATCGAATCGATACCCATTTTATGCAAAATATCAACTTTGAAATTTGACCTTTTTTGACCTGACCTTGACCTGACCTCCACCAGAGAGTGACCTAAACCGTACCTGATGGTCTTATAACCAACACCATTGAGTTGGAAATGAAAAACTGGCCATAAAACATGCATCGCATAACCTTAGTAAAGTTGGGCTCATGTGGTGACCCTTGGTGACCTTTGGTGACCTGACCTGTGACCTGACCTGGTATGACCAGTGACCTCTAATAGCAACATATGTACTAGACAACTGGCGCCTTATCGCTGATTTTCGACAAAATGCGTTTTACTCGGTGTTATAGCGCTTTCCCTAGAAGCCCCGTGAACGGTGAAACATTTTATCTTTGACCTGACCTGTGACGTCATCGGTGACCCCGAGGTCAATGAAATTTGGTTTCCTTCAACAAATTTGACAGGGCTATCGAACGCCGTTTGAATTTTCCGGATCCGTCCAGTAGTTTCGGAGATACGGGGGGGGGGGGGGCAAAAAAGTGCCCCCCCCCCCCCCACCGCGCGGAAGGTGGCTGGTAGGCCCACCGCCTGCCGGGTTAACCCGCCGTCCTGTCCGTCGCGCCCTTGTCCTTGCGGCCGGTTCCGCGGCGGGCACGACGCACGCCGGCTTTTCCCGCACGTTGCATCATGTGGTGACGCTGTGCACTGCGCAGCCGGCCAGCCTTATACACGGTGCGACCGGTCGGTACGAGTGCACCGGTTCTGGAAAACGCTGCTATAGTCTTACCTGAGCCGGTGGCCGCCGTGACTGGGCCCCGAGCTGCCGGGACGGCTTCTGGGCGAGAGAAGTCACACCACTCATGTGGTCGTATTTACGGCTGGAAGCTGACTGTTAGGCTGGGGAGAGAATCAAGATTACTGTACTACCAGAGAATGGTCTTGTCGCTGTTGAGACTGACAGACCACCGGATCTGTCGAGCTGTAGCACGTTTGGGGCCTGTTTAGGGAACTGGGTTCATCTCATGGTCCATTTGGAGCTTACATCAACAGAGTTGGTATCAGTTCTTGTGGTTCGTTTAGGGCTGGTACCGGGCGCCGGGCGATGTGTGCTCCCACCCCTGAGCTGCTATTGGACAGGCTGGGCCTCGACATTTGCGGTCCGTATTGGACTGATGCGGGATGGTGTGTGCTCCCTGCCGCGGCCAGAGAGGGGCGGCTGCACGGACCACGGGGTGCCGACCGTGACACTGCCAGTAATGGCCCGAGCTGCCAGTAATGGCCCGACCTACCGCTGGTGCCTGGTCACAGTCGGCTGCGTCCGCTCCGCTCCGGCAGTCTGTGGGTCACACGGGTCATATTGGGACAAATCTCTGATATAATGACATAGTCGCAAAATACATTTGTAAATGGTCTCAGCTTCTTCGCGTCAACGGTCAGGCCAGGTTATGCGGTATACTGGTCTTATTTCCCGGTCATTTTATATGGAAGTGTTACGTCTTACTTCGATATGTGTCCCGTTTTATTTTCAATCTTTTTTTGCGCCTGGCTCCGGTGACCCTGGCTGAACTACCGAACCGTTGGCCCGTCTGACCCAGCGTCAGTTCCGTTAGCTCGGCCGCTGCTGCCGGCTATGAGGAGACGACGTTTGTGGGGCCGACGATGGTCAGCTGATCTGTGGTGGGTATGGCTGGCTGTACGACGAACCCTCCGGCCTTTACCGATCAAAGATGATCAGTTTTTCTATCATTCTTACCTTGGTGGGTGACTAGTTATTAGGTAGTAATGTAGGGATAACTGATATTTCTATGTCGTAGGAATGCAGGCTTTCTTGCGCTGTGGCAAGGGTGTTACGCACGCGACGGTCGCTTCTGAGCCAGATTACGCTTGGCGGTGTGTATGTCACGTGGGTGCTGACCTCCACAAGGTGCGGAAGTGCGGTCTCTGACTGGTCCAAATGACCTTGTAATGTCGGGGGCCATAGTGAGAAGCCTGCGGCTAACATTTGTAGGTTACGTTAGTCCGGAGAATGACTGATTCGGACGATATCTAAGGCGAAGATGCTCCGCTCTAGAGAGGTCCTGGCGTGATGGTTAGTGGGTTACATGCGTTAGCAAATGGAACTGAGAATACGCCTCGTCATTCTGGTTTCAAGCTAGCATGCGCGTTATCTTTGAGGGTCACTTATGTAAGTTCTTGGAAGCATTGTTCTTCGCCTTTGCATTGGGCCTGTAATATGTGTGATTGAGCTGGTTTAGCACGCGACGGACTGTGGGATTTCCATGATCTGAAACACTACCTGCCGACGGTTCGTCTTACAGGGAATAAGCATGATACTGCGTTCTGCTTAGGCCGGTCTTTCCTTGTTTACCTCTACCCTGCCAATGTTATCGGTAATAATGAACCTGGCCGCACCAGACGTTAAATCCCAGAACGGGCTAATCTGACCTCAACCATGCCCCGCTGTCCTGTCCGCTACAATCCGTCTACTATTTTCAACGGACACCATGTTGCCTACAGCTTTGAACAGCAAATGGAAGATTTAACTTTTTGGCAATGCTTATCATTACCTTCAAAAACATCTCCATCTGGCATCTACTATATTTTGCGCCTTTACGGTTCGTTTACTGAAGCAACCAGTTGCTCTCAGTAATTTTTCATCACTTCAAGATGGCTAACACCTTTCCTGTTCTGTAAAGTACCAGAAATGACACGTCCGGCTGTTATGTCGTGGCCCAACTCTTTCATCTGCTAATTGTTCTACGTTCAATGAGGAAACTGCGCAGAACATTGACCGTTGCATCAAGCGTCTTGACCGATGCGTCGAAAACTTTGACAGATGTGTGTTTTCATTAGTAGAGCAAATAGTTCATAATGTCGTGATATGAAAACATTTCACATGGCATTATGCATGTCCTCACCATATCTGCATATGACCCCTCGTGTCTCTGGGGCGCCACTCTGCCCTGTCAGTCACTCGGTGCAGGCTAAAAGGACAGTCAGACTGTAATGGTGGAGGGGGGGGGGCTGACCTTTCCGTGGTGTGACCGTGACCGGTGTGACGATGACTGCTGATGTCCCTATCATGGCCGCTGGCGTCCACTTGTCGCAGTACTGACTGCCCTGGTCGGGTCTCGTTGGCGTCATTGAGACGCTTTGTACCGACATTGGGCGAGGCTGGGCTATGTTGCATTGGCGACAATGCGGCTGGGGTGTCGCGTGGAAAAGCCTGGCGGGCAGAGTGGGCCATTGCTACAGATGTGTCCTGACATTGGTAATGGCTCTTTGATGGCCGTGGCAAGGATATGGGGGAAGTGGGAGGTAGTATTTACTATTCTCGGGAACAAGAGCCGTCGCTAATCGGACTGGTTTTGTGGTAACAGGATGTAACAGCAAGTGCGACACCAGCTGTTTTACTGGTGTTCTAGTATGAGCTCGTGAAGTACCTACTACCTACTAAGATGAACTGTAATGTGATTTATTTGCTTGCACATGAAATCTTACACTTGGCGAAAAGGGCATACGTTACTTGTAGTAACTGCATGCAAATTGTGTTTCTCTTCATTTTAAATTGGTCCACACTTCACCAAGATTGAAGTTGAATCGAGCTTCCGATGTCCGCTCCCTCGGAGGTGGGGCTGAATGCGACGGAACCCCACCTACTGACTACACATTCGGCCAAGCTGCTCTGTTTTCCGCTGACCGGCCTTGGCCTCTCGATCCCCTCGGCAAAGTTCCGGCGGGCAAACACTCGACGGCCGGGTCCGTTGGTAATTGGACCGCAATGGGAATAGTTTTTTCTACGTCGTTAGAAGTTAGACATGTGTTACGTGTTTTCAATGCGCTCTATTCTGTACTACTTTCCGCTGCTGAATTTTGTAACAAGCTCATTATGGTGATAACTGCGTTGCAATCGTATGTAACCACATGTATAATACAAGCATATGGCGTTAAATGCGTACATGGTCTCTGGTCAAAAGTAAAATAGACGTCCTCTTTTAAAGCAGCGTGCATCCTTGTGCTCCGGGCTCTGGCAGCGTTATGCCCATGTATGGTAATACTGTAAAGCTGTATCCGGTTCCGTTCTGCCGAATGTTGTTGGCGCTGTCTGCCCTGATCAATACGCCGGCAGTGACAATCGTGGGCCGTGGGCTGCAGGCCAGCGCACACGGCCGGCACAAACAACGCTGGACATTTATCGGAGTCCCGGACGGCCGGCGTAACCGGCCGTAAATACCAACTCGCTGTACGAGACAGTTGTTCTCAGAGAGATCCCAATTTGACCCCGGCCTGATCAGTGATGCTCGCGGTCGCTGGCAGAGCGATTTGTATTGATGTGTGGTCGCAATTTTACCACAGTCACAGCGTAGCGATTTATTGCAACCTACGAGTTATATCTCTGACACTCGACTGCCGACACCTGATAGATTGTTTTAGGAAGCGTGCATGTCGATCTGTAGCCGACGTATCGCATCGCATGTAGGTGGAAGTTATAGAAATTGATAGCGAGTGGTCGTACGTCGGAGTGAAAAATTGGCCAATGGCGTAAATTCTGTTTCATAGCGTTATCTTACCGGGCAGCCGCGGCCGCTGCTGGGATGCTGCGCCCATGGTCGCGGCCTCACCTCGTCCCGTGCTCCGAATCTGCCCGGCCGGTCCGTGGCCTGGGGCGGGCGGCCGGCCGAGACGGGCCGGGGTCGGCGACCGGCCACGGCGACTAAGCCAGCGAGGAGAGAGGGAGGGAGACAGAGTGGGAGAGACCAGCGCAGACAGGTGCCGCCGCCGTCCGTCGGAGGTGTTTGCGCGGCCCCGGCCCTGACCGTGGCCTTCGGCGGCCGTGCCCGAGGTTGTTTACCAGTGAGGGCGTAGACTCGCGCCCACCCCTTCCCCTGGGACCGGTCAGTCTGCCACTGAGGCCAAACTGCCGATCCTGAGGCGCTGGGAGGCGCTGGCTGACCCGGGCTGTCGGGTTGGCTGGTCTCGGACCTAACAGCCGCCCATCGCTGCTGACTCATGCTGCTAACCAGAACAGCCACGCAATGAGGCCTAACGGGAAACCGGTCGGCGCCGCGGCGCAGTGTAGACCTGCGTCTCACTAGCTGTCCGGCTGGTGGAACAGTAACAAGGAAATATTGCTGGACAATGAGTGGAGCTGTTGTCAAAACGCCATTACAACATTAAAGCTAGAGTTGGCGGTAAATAGAAGAGACGCTCAGAGTCGAAACTCCCTCGGACAAGCTCGTTTTTTAATGAAAGCGAGAGTAGTGGTCGCTCGTTAACCCGGTTGATCATGAATGACTGAAATCCCGACATAGCGTGGTTCTTTGATCCTGAAGCCGGTCTTAGTACTATATTCATTATGCGGCTGTCATGCTTCCAGTCGCCATCTGGACCATCACGAATCGTGCAGTGAACCTGTCCTGGGTTCGGGCTGGGTGAGGCTGGGAGTTGTGTCGAACGCAAATGGGCGTTTACACGGCTAGATCCGGCGTCACTATGACAGTGTGGCCTTGCATACATGTGGTGCCACGACCTTTGTTATTCTGACCCGTTTGTCCATTGGTCCCCGTGGGTTTTCACTGCTCCACTTGTTTCCATTTTTAGCAGGCAGTCGGAGAGTTGCTACTCGCCTCAGCCACGTGGGCCGTGTGTCCCGGGCCGAGTGTCTCCGGCTGCGAGAGACGGGTGTGAGCTGTTTGTCTCTGTGTCTCCATGGGTGCAGGAAACAAGTGCGGGTCGTGTGTCTCTAACTATGCCCCTGGCTGCGGAAGACAAATGCAGGCCTCGCGCATCTGTGTCGTTTTCTTTGGCAGACGAAGACAGATTGTCTCCATGAGTGGGTGTGGAGCAGCTTTTTAGCTCTCTCGCAACTCTCGTTAGTCAGAGCGCCGGCAAGCTGCCTCCAGATCCAACTTCCCCTGTCGGAAAGGAGGGATGGGTTATTCTGGTGTGTCACTGATAATGACACGACGGATGTTTTTTTTTTTTTACTGATAACGACACAAGGGATGTTTCTTTTTGCTCAAGGACGGTTTGTGTCCAGTTTCAGGCGTGGGCGTGGGGGGTTCGCTAATCCGACAGAGCCCTGGACTACCCCCAGATAGCCGACGGAAGATTGCGGCGCCGCCCTAGATTGTGGATTGTTGAGCGAGCCGCCCGTCGGCTGATTGCCAGACCTATAAAGGTGTATTTTTAGCCGGCGCCGCTCCTCTAATGTCAACAGGGTGATGGACGGCTCGGTGGGTCACGACCCAGCGGCTCAGCGGCTCACGCGGGGCGGCTCAGCGGCTCACGGCTCAGCGGCTCGACAGGGCAATGCATTTTTTTGGAGGCGCACAATAGGAGATGCATCTAGCTATCTCGGGCGTTTCTTTGTTGTTGCGATCCAGAGCGGCTTCTGGGAAATTGACGTATGCTGTTAACCAGGCCATATACGGGGAATTTATGAGTGCTGGTAAACAGTCGACAGACTGAATGGCCGAGAGATTATTCAGTTCCCAGAAAGCAGTAAATAAAAAGGCTACTATGGGGTTTCAAGTCTACCGTATTGCCGAAAATATATATGCTATTTCTGTGTGAGCTGGTGATTTCGATTCCTGAGTCGTTAATGAATATGTTTCAAGGCCGTTTAAGTAGATCTGTTTAGTTGGTCCATGCCATCAGATCTCCCAGAATGTCTGTGAAAAAAGGCCGAGACGAGCCGACAAACTATTCGCCTCCCCCTCCCTTCCACCAGCCCACACAGGCCTCCCGGCACCAGCTCCATCCACTGGCCGTATCTCTACCGACGCAACGTCTTGCTCCTTTACGTGTTTCCCTGACCCTTCTGTCAACATCTCCCGCGTCTGGTCTAGCCTACATCATTAGCGCAGCTCAGTGCTCACCATGCTCTCTGCATGATATGATTACTGACGAATCATGTTTTGTTTCAGAATGACGCCTACGTGTGTACGGGCATTAAGGTGTCGGATTTGGCCGGTACGGATGCCACCGTCTGGGTGACCCAGTACCGCGCCCTGAGTGATGCCGACACGGCCCATCACATGCTGCTCTTCCAGTGCGACGACCTGACGCCTCAGCAGCGCGCCGCCGGAAAATGGTGAGATATCTGCCCGGGGAGGCTGGATTGGCCGGGGGAGGAGGGGATGGTACAGGTCTCGCGAGCTTGAGCGGTAGGTTTTGCACTTTTACATTTCCGGTTATATCTCAGAAACTAATCGATCTACGATGAAGCCATTTTACACGATCATGGCCGGCTTGTTACCCAACAAGTCGATCGCATATTCAACACTGAAAAGCTTAAGACGACGAAGATATAGCCTGAAGTACACTAAATTTTCTAGGTGCAAAACCTACCGCTAAAACCCGCGAGACCTGTACATACTACACAGGTGTAGGGGAGACGGGGAGGCGGTGCATGGAACTAGGCAAGCTGGCGGCAACGGTACGCAAGATTAGGGGAGATTGGAGAGATGGTTGTCGTAGGACGGTAGGCAGGCGCTCACGTGCTCAGGGGAGATCGGATAGACGGTTCTCATAGGACGGTAGGCTGGATGCTATCTTTGCCGTGGGCCGTACCAGTTACACAAGCTTCGCGTGTAGTTAGATGAGGTGTCGGTGGTAACCAGACTGGTTTTTGATTCACCTTTTTGGATCGATTCAATCATTGATTCATTTGATTTTTGTTTGATTCAATCACCGTTTGATTCCTTCAAAAAATTTTGGTGAATCGATTCCTTTTGATTCAGAGAATCAAAAAACAATAAAAGGAATGATTCACGTTTGATTCAGCCAAAAATTTTTGAATGATGCTTTTTGATTCAATTAAAAAATAAAATATACAAAATATTAGGGATAGTATTGTACTTGTTGTGTTCTTTTTGTTGTAATGTAATGGCAGTAGTGTTAATATTTGTTGATAATGAACTATGTTCGTTCACTTCAATTTTTTTAAGTTCATGAATCATTAATTTTTTTGATTCAATCAACCCTGATTCCCAATGCGTTTGATTCAATCATGGCTTGTGAATCAAACAATCCTGACGGTGAATCAAACCTTTTTGATTCAACAAATTTTGTTTGATTCAATCAAATCGATTCAATCACAGATGAATCAAACACCAGTCTGGTGGTAACAGATAACCAAGATACCCATGGCTTGATCAGGTCTGGTGCTGACTTCATCTAGTTTTTTTCTTCATAATGTTATATGCATGACTTGTGACACGCGATTTATACGAATATCCGCCTACCGACGGTAAAGAGCCAGCGAGCTGATATATACGAGCTGATAGTGGTGGATGTATGCGCTAAGGTCGCACCAGCAAGATTCGTGTGGACGCTGTGTTTTCGCTGGTATGTGCAACATTGCGTCAGTTTCGAGTTTGTGGCCACCTTACCGAACACGTGCCCTTGTTCGCTATGGCTGTGCTGCTGGCTGACGCCTGGGAGGCTCCTGATTTGTTATTACAAAAAAAGTAAACAGTATTTTTCTGATCTAGCATTTCTTAGCTGGTGTACATATTTAAGAATTCAGATATATACAGCATGTATTTCCGATTTTGATGCTCACATCAATATTGTACGAATAAGTTTTGGCTTTAACGAGTCATTAACACATCGTGGACTTTCCGTCAAAATACATTATATTTGCGATAAAGACGTCTGAAGCATGACATCAATGCCTTGATTTTGATTTGCACAGCTGGTGTGCGGTTACTAGTTAGTCCATCGTCCACATTTTTACTAACCTGTAAAAGAGCATAAACCAATCAGATCTCTGCGCTAAACCGTTGGGGGACAGCCAGACATGACAGTCACACCTGTGACGACAGAGGTGACAGGTGACGGCGCGCAGCTGTCACTGACAGTCACCAGGTGTCAGATCTGTCAGTCTGCCCGCACAGCGCGGGCGGGTGTGGGCGTGCTCGCGCTGCGCCCAGCCGACACTTGGGAGTGGTATGTACAGAGCAGGCGAACCCATACCGGAAAGAAATACATTTAAATGGAATTAGGTAGCTTGAATGGTAAACTGGTAAATGGGATATTGAGTGGTAAATTGAAACTGGTTGTTTTAAATTTGAACTGGTTGAAGCTACTAAGGCATATGCAAAAACTCATGGTTATGTGTGCATCTCTCTCTCTCTCTCTCTCTCTCTCTCTCTCTCTCTCTCTCTCTCTCTCTCTCTCTCTCTCTCTCTCTCTCTCTCTCTCTCTCTCTCTCTCTCTCTCTCTCTCTCTCTCTCTCTCTCTCTCTCTCTCCTTCCCTTCCCTCCACCTCTCCCCATTAGGCAGCCAATTTGTCTGTTCACTGTTCAGCGATGGATAGGCGGCCGTACCGGGGTTGGGTGGGAGGGCCCCACCGGAACTTTGTGATCATGCGGTTTGACGACCCAGACCTGTGTGTTTATGTGTGTTTGTGGGGGAGGGAGATGTCTGTGGAAACAAAATTAGGCCAACTTACTGAATTCATCCGCCCCGGTTCAGTAAGTTATGCACTTAGTTTAGGGGCGATACAGAACCTGAACAGGTGCTCCTCACTTATGACTGATGATCTGACCTGACCTGAACTGACCTAACCTGGCTCGGCAGGGAGTGCGGCCACCACGGCGTCTGCCAGAACAGCCAGGTGATGTACGCCTGGGCCAAGAACGCGCCGGCCACCAAGCTGCCTGACGATGTCGGCTTCAAGATCGGCGGCACCACGCAGCACAAGTACCTCGTGCTGCAGGTAAGCAGTCGGGGAACGTGATGGGAGGGGGAGAGGGCATCACGGTATGTGTCTTGCTGAAAGTTATCGCCAGGGGCGTGTCGGCTATTAGTAGAGTACCTATGTTGGTGGTGTTAAGGCCGGGATGGCACAAATGAAAGAACACTCCTGGGGCATTCCACGTCAAATCAAACACCGAAATCCGTCATCCCCTTCGATTTTTCTGAAAATTCGTAGGCAGACTGGGCATGGTTCAAAACAGAGTTACGTATAATATTTTCGAAATTTGGTTAAGTATCGCTGAGATATAGGTCATCGAATATAGCCAAAAATGCCACACATCAATTTTTTAAATGTCTATAACTCTGCTTCCTTTTCTGGTATCAAAATGATATTAACAGGGGCTTGTAGGCAATTGACAAGGCTTTGATTTTTTATTATAAAATTAAATTGAAGTGACCTTGAACTGCATTTGACCTTGAATTAAAACAGAAAAATTTAAATAGCAAAAAACACGTCACCTTCGATTCGGGTAATTTTTACATATTATGTCCGTCACAATGTTCCTAACTATCTGTGAAAAAAATTGGAGTGGGCCATTCATAACTCTCGCGGCAAACGCCGTTTTCATGCATCAACAACACGCAACCGCGCGTGACCTTGAAAGACAGAGTCAAGACATGCTTGCTTGTGTACACTTTCTGAAATGAATGATTGCTGATTAGTGATATCCCAAACTCTGCGAGAATGGAAATACATACAGTTATCGTAGTCAAGCATTCAAGTTCCATAGTAAAAGTGTCTCAGGCAAACGGTATTTTGCGGTGAATTTTGAGCCGTGTGGAAATGCACCATGAAGCCAAAAATTCAACGAAAACATTATCACGCAACGATATCTTCACGTCTTTTTATCTTCACTATACGAAAGAATATACATTTTTGAGTATGTATGATGAATTTCTAGTTAATCCAATTATAAATATGGCAGTTAGAGACCTGCTAAGAGTAACATGTCGCCGGCTGAGGCGGGATCGGCCGACGCGGGAAACGCAGCAATCACAATTTTGTGTTTACACGTTCATATTTCAATTGTTTACCAACCGATTTTCAAAATTCTTACACCATAAGATTGCCTGTACATTTCTTAGTCTTCTCACAAAATTTGACGCGAATCGAACGTAATCAGCGGTAAGGAGCGCGATGTAAAGACGGAACCGTTCCGTTCCGTCCCGGCACAGTCTACAATTCAGGCGGCGCGGCGGCTAGCGGTCGGCGCCGGCTGCCGAGTCGCCGCGTCGCCGCGGCGACAGGATGCTCACTTTACACCGCTATTACTGGACCAGTTGTGAACCGATTTTCTTCTTGCTTGCACGATGAGATGTGCAATTCAATTTTGGACATGTAGCTATAATTAATTTCGCATTAATACTATGAGATATTGGCGAAAAACAGAAGTGGTGGGGCGAAATTCACTCTTCCCCCTCCACTGCGCGTGCTAACATACGTTTGCATATGTGCCATTTTCTTCAAAACTTATGAATGGCCCACTCTAATTTTTTCACAGTTTGTTAAGAATATGGTAGGCAATAAAATATATGAAAATTAGCAAAATCGAAGGTGACGTGTTTTTTGCTATTTCAATTTTGGTGCTTAAGAACAGAGTTAAGCAAATTTCAAGGTCATATATTTAAGTAGAAGCAATTCTAAACAAATGCTTAAGAAATTACCTAAACAGTAAGGTTTATTTCATTCAAATCAAACAAGTACAACCAAAGTTATGGTCGTTCAAAAATATAAAGATGCAACATTTTGTAAAAATTCGATGCCCTATATTTACATAGAAGACATGTGGTCAGAATGTGCAAAAAACATCAATGTAATGTTCGGGGCGACACAGGAACTCGCTCACAAATTTATAATGAAATCGCTGATGGTAAGGTGCAAAACAGCCGATTTTTGTTCGATTTGACGTGGAATGCCCCTCCTTCCAGTCGACCGCCAGGCTAGCTGGTCACCGTTGAAGGGACCATTTGTCCGACATATCGGGTCACTTATAGTCGGGTCACTTATAGGATAGATGAAGGAGGGCGATAGTTGGTCGCCAAGCGAGATTAATATGTGCTGAGTTTATAGGTCTGCTCGGCGTGACTCTAAAAACTGTGAAGTCTGATAGATTTCCTCCTCACGATCCTCTGGTCTTAGTGGAACAGGTGTGATGAATTTTCATGGAAAAGTACTACTGCGCGATCAGTCAGCAGTTGTTTTGTTTTCGATTTGTATGTATGGTTTGCAGGTGGTTCCGCTATAAGGTTACGTTTTGTATGAATATGAGACTTTGAAGTATTGGCAGGCAAGCAATTTGTTTATGCATTATCCTGTTTGCCCATAATGCTTTGTATGAGCCTCCCATTGTTTCTTTGTGCATTGGTGCCACTTCCTGTTTAACTTCTCGACTCACGTTCTGTCGAATACGAGGAAGATACGACCATACGAAGAAAACCAAACAATGCTCGATTTTGTCGAAACATGTGGTGCTTATAAAAACAAAATGCACGTAGTGACAAACATCGCACGCCATAATTGCTTCAAGTACCTATCTTGACATCGGCTATGTTGCGGTCATCGACGATGGTCTGTCCGCTTTCTTCGCTGTCTGGGACATGGGCTGGTTAGCTCGTCATGTTTTCATTGTCAACACCGAACGGAAACCATCCAATCATCTGACACACAGCGAAACCATCCCGATATCATGTGTCGCCAGAGACCACCCGGAACCTAAACGGCTGCCAACAGCTCCAAAAGGTAGTTTGATGTGTCAGAAAAACTCGCTTGCCTTGCCACTTTAGGTGGCAAGTGGCTTGCTTCCGGACACAGGTGCTGGTTGAAAGAAGGTAGGGGCAGATAGCAGACGAATGACTCGGTCTTATCCCCGACTTTTTTCAACTCTGCCTCGCTCCGTCGCGTCAGTCCCATTCTGCCTCGGACTCTTTCCGCCTTTCCCCCACCCTAACCCATCTCGTGGACTTGCTTTTCCCTTTTTCGGTCTCATCCTTACTCGGCCCCTACTGCGTCGTTTATTTTTCTCTCTTGCTCCGTCCTCTCCTCAGCCCATCTCTGTTAAGATTCTCTCTTGCCCAGTTTCCATGCCTACCCGGGCTACTCTAACCGCGCTGAAGATATCTACCTGCAGCGTATCCGCTCGGTACCGTGTGTATGGACTTTTACACGAAGCGGCTAGCATGACTCGCTACATTAGGAGTGGAGCGGTCACGAAGCGCCAGGTAGCTGGCCCGGGATGACCGGCCGCCACCGTCCGCCGGCCGCTCCAGCAGCGGTAAATGCAACTTTGGATGATGAAATAGTCGCTCAGTGGGTAGAAGTGGCGGTGACTCACCCGGCCGGCTTTGAACGGAGTTGAGAGAAAAGTGCCAGGGAGATTTCGGGTTTACTGTGTGGTGTATGTGTGAAGTTGTGTTAAAGATGGGTCTCTCATATAACCCGTCTTTATTTATTCTCTCGTGCCTGGCGATTTGCTGTGCTGTTTTCCGTAGTTTCTTTTTGGGTTTGGATTTTACCACGATCGTTTAGCGAATACGAGGCTCTTCTAATGCCAAGTATACCAGCCGGACACTTCAAGACTCGGCTTCTGGCCATAACGCCTCTCTGTCGCCTCCTTTGCCACTTCCTTCTCGCGCGGCTGGTGTACTGAGTCGAGCCTCGCAGCTGGGACTAACAGGCCATCTACAGACGGAGGCGTCCCACAAAGACTCTCGGACCGGCCTTAGTGGCTCTGAGAGGATTTGCCGCGATACTTCCCTGAGATCTGCAGAGGGACTTGTGTGCAATTTAAAACCATGCTGGTGGACCGACGAAAGCGGGCGTTGAGCTTTCACGGCTTTTGGCTTGTGCCCTCGCGTCGCCGCGTTTTTTTTTATAGAAAAGCTTTGTAAACATGGAATGGGATAGCATCTGCAATACACATCTGTTGGCCACCAATGTGTTGTTCCTGTGTCTAAAAATAGCATCGCTTAGAAAATAATGACACCACCCCGGTACCTAAAGGAACCCCACGACCCCTCGACTTGTACCTGTTGCTCTAGGACTCCCTTCCTTCCCACTGTGACGACCGTGCTCCGTTTCAGATTCATTACGCTCACCCACTGCCAGCGCCGGATACGAGCGGCGTGGAGCTGATGGTTTCAGAGAAGCCCCAAAAGTACCAGGCCGGTATCTATCTGCTGCTGGACGGATCGGTAGTCATCCCACCAAACACGCCAGGTGAGACGTGGTGACCGGCGCACCGACCGGTCGAATAAAATAACGGTCAGGGTTTCATGGGAGTTATTCCGCGTGTCGAGATCGTTGATGACAATCATTGACATAGTGCGTCGCGGTAATCTAGTGGAAGATATTGGTGTCTACCATTTTGTGCTGGATCATTGGTCATTGGATCCAGTTGGTGTTGACTGTCACCAATTACGTTGGTCATGGCGATGTGTCATTTGTAGTGTGTGATGTGCAATGTTTATCTAGACGTCCTTACTGACGCCACTTGTTGCTCCGTTTCAGTGACGCACGCCGACGTTAACTGTCAGTTTAACGGAGAGAACACTCTGACTGCCTTCGCGTATCGCGTGCACGCCCACAAGCTGGGCAAGGTCATCACCGGCTACCGCTACAACACACAGGTATCGGCAACGCTTCCCAGTCGGTTACCCTGTGGGGATAATACTACCGCCCCGATGCTAGTGTTCTGTCTCGCCTTGTCCCTCGCTCACCACAATAATCGATCACGTCCCATGCTGGTTATGCTGTTGATTTTGTTGTCTAATGTGAGTCGCATATCCAGCAGTCTGTGATTGTTTGGCTGCGGAGTTTCGGGGCCTACAATGACAGATGATGCTGTTTTCCGGGCTGTCGGGCTGGTGGGACCGGGTGGCGCCGGCCGCCGCTCGATACGGGATACCGTCCAACACAGCCGGGCTGGCCCCTACCCCGCCCCCGCCTCTTCCTCCGGATCTTACCGCTATCATACTCTGCTCATACTCAGTCTTTCTAAATGATGTGCGAACTCAACCGGCCATATTCTGCGTCTGCCCCTCGATTATACATGATTTCACTCTATGTTGTGACCATATGTCCCATGACCCTGACCCCGTGTCGCCTGACCCTATCCTGGCCCCTACGACCCTGCCTGACATCGGATGACCCGAACTGATCAGTTAATCACTATGACCCTCCGCTCTGGTTTCCTGGCCCCATTTTGGCTTCATAACCTCGAATCTTAATTTCTAACCGGTCCCGACCTCGTCTCTGACTAATGGCCTATCTCGCTGTCACCACTCACAGAGCTAAACCCTGGTGGAGATGACTCGCGGTAACCCACACTACCGACTCTGACTCTAACAACACCAGAGTCAAAGTCATCTCTCAACACCGACTCTGATCGGCAACCTCTCTCACTATCTCACAGAACCAGACGCTGGTAGAGATGGCCCGCGGTAACCCGCACTACCGACTCTGACTCTAGTCTCTAACCACACCAGAGTCAAAGTCAGCTCTCAACACTAGCTCTGATCGGCAACCTCTCTCACTCTCTCACAGAACCAGACTCTGGTAGAGATGGCCCGCGGTAACCCGCACTACCGACTCTGACCGGTAACCTTTCTCACTACCTCACAGAACCAGACTCTGGTGGAGATGGCCCGCGGTAACCCGCAGTACCGACTCTGACTCTAACAACACTAGTCACATTCATCTCTCAGCACCGACTCTGACCGGTGACCTTTCTCACTATCTCACAGAACCAGACGCTGGTGGAGATGGCCCGCGGTAACCCGCAGTGGCCGACTCTGACTCTAGCAACCCTAGAGTCAGAGTCAGCTCTTCAACACCGACTCTGATCGGTAACCTTTCTATCACACAGAACCAGACTCTGGTGGAGATGGCCCGCGGTAACCCGCACTACCGACTCTGACTCTAACCACACCAGTGTAAGGGTCAGCTCCCAACACCGATTCTGACCGGTGACCTTTCTCACTCTCTCACAGAACCAGACTCTGGTAGAGATGGCCCGCGGTAACCCGCAGTACCGACTCTGACTCTAACCACACCAGAGTCAGAGTCATCTCTCAGCACCGACTCTGACCGGTGACCTCTCTCACTATCTCACAGAACCAGACTCTGGTAGAGATGGCCCGCGGTAACCCGTAGTGGCCGACTCTGACCGGTAACCTTTCTATCTCACAGAACCAGACGCTGGTGGAGATGGCTCGCGGTAACCCGCAGTGGCCGACTCTGACCGGTAACCTTTCTATCTCACAGAACCAGACTCTGGTAGAGATGGCTCGCGGTAACCCGCAGTGGCCCCAGGCGTTCTACCCGATGAAGCACCCGATCGATATCCATCCCGGTGACCTGGTGCACGCACGCTGCACATTCGACTCGACGGGACGAAACAGGACCACAAGGATTGGTGAGTCGGCTTGGGAACGAACTACTATAGTTATACTTATCTGCCAGACTGCTATTATAAGTCGGTGGAATAGCGAACTCTGAAGATGGACTAAAATAGACTATTCTGTCTACTGTTTTCTTGTTCTCCGTCCCGCATTATTATGCATAGTGGCAGACTATCCTGTCGGTGTGCTACTTGGACTATTTTGCCCATACTGTTATCCGCCGACCACTATTTTATTCCGCCGACTACCGTGAACCGTGCTCTGTGGGCCGCCTGCCAGCGCGGCTGGGCTGCAGTAGGAAAACAACACTGACGACCTCAGGGGAAAACGGGCGCACGTCTCTGTGACAGGAGCTGGATTAGAATGGAAACGCCACTGAACGTGGTGCGTGCTGCCTGGCGGGTAGATTGGATGGGAGAAGGTCTGTCGTGATTTTATACAGGGATCGTAGTGCTTTTGTTATTCAAATTATGCTTGCGACTGGTGTCAGCTGTTCGTTTTATCGATGAAGTAGGGATGGTTCGATGTCATCGCTAAATGGTCTCGACTGAATCTGCTGTTTGCATATGCTGAAATATTTATGCAGCCGTCTGGAAACTTTCGCCGTCTCTGAAAGCCGCAGAAAGATGAGTTGGTCGCTTCAACAAACTATGTTTGACTGAAGCGAACTTCCTTGGTTGATTATTTTGGCATCGTGTTGATGCCGTCCCTATGGTAAAGGCAGCCGCTGTGACCATTACGATGTAGTTATGTCGACTGCTTCTCGATATCAGTTGGCCTCAGTGGCTCGACTGTTCTGCATTGGTAGTTTGGTATGCTATGGTCGGTGGCTCGGTTACCATTGTCAGTTGGCCGCTGGAAATCGATTGAGCTGGTTTTATATTGGGGCCGTCCGCCCGACGTTTCCGGAAGTCAGTCTGAATGTCTGTCTGTGTTGGCCTGGCTGTCTGTCGGTTTATCTGTCTGGATATGTATGTGTCTGTTGGTTTCTGTTAGTCTGCCTGTATACCTGTGTCTGTGTTAGCCTGTCGGTCTGTGTCTCAAGCCTGTCTGTGAGCCTTTCCTGCCCGGAAAGTGGCCGAATCTGTACCGGTAGACCGCGATCTCATCCAGGGCCCACTTTCGTACCCACATGGTTTGTAATGTATATGCAGGATCTGTTCCAAAATCCACACGTCTAACCCCCGTGACCCCTCCCGCAGGCGCCTACTCGACGGACGAGATGTGTAACCTGTACGTCATGTCTGACCCTGCCCCCCCCCCCCTCCCCCGCCCGCAGGCGCCACCTCGGCGGACGAGATGTGTAACCTGTACGTCATGTACTACACGGACGCCGAGAAGGGACGCTCGGCGTTCGCCTGTATGGGTGAGAACGTACCGGAGTTGACGGACGCCCTGCCGGCCAACAGCGACCAGCCACTGCCGCCCAACCCGCTGCTGGAGGAGCACGCCAAACATACCCATAAGGAGGACATGGTGAGAGGGCGGGTGGTGGAGAGAGAGAGAGAGAGAGAGAGAGAGAGAGAGAGAGAGAGAGGGGGGGGGAGGGGGCGGTGGGATGGAGTTGATGGTTTTCAATGGCTGTGTGTTGGAAGAGGTGTTGGGTGGAAGTGTTGCGGTTGAAGAAGCTTTTGACGGAACGGACTCTGGGAGTGACATGAAGCGGCGTAATTGTGCTCGTTACTCGAAATTTTCTCAAGAGGTTATCAACTTGCCGAGTTCTTACGGAGTGCAATAGAATAATGTTTACTAGCTTGATGTTTTTAACTGAACTATAATATAACTTATAACGCACTTCTCATATTTGATGACAGAGCTAGTTAATCCAAACCTATAGGTATTGATTAGTGGCTGCATGTTTGACTTCATGGCTGGCTACTTCAATTATGGTTATACAATTTTATGTTCTTTTTTGTTGCGCATGGGTTTAGTTCGTTCTCTGTCGCTTGATGAACATATGCTCTAGTTTAGTAGATACACACCCCTCTCCCCGATTGCTTCCGTTGCCTGCGCCCTCCCCTCCCCCCCCCCCCCCCCCCCAACACATACGCACACGCACGCACTCGCCTCTCGTTTCCCTGTCCTGTCGCTATGCATGTTCGGGTAACGGCTTCTCGTGACGCTGACGCAGACCAAGACACTTCAGTACAACGTGGCTGCGACGGGCTCGTCGGCCGGCGCAGCGGACATGCAGTCGGAACAGCAGCCGGAGCAGCCGGAGCTGCAGCCTATCGGCACTGTACTCAATCCGGACGACTACGAGCCGGGACGGATCGCCAAGGCGCTTGGAGGTGAGCGAGGGGGAGGGGAGCGTGGAGGGAGAGGGTGGGCGATTACGAGGTGATAGCGATATCCGTGAAGGGAAAGCTTTTTTAAGAACTTGAGGGGATGGTATTGAACACGAGAGCTCAGAGGGGAGAGGCCGTGCAGGCGAAAATGTCTGCTTTTGAGAGGCTGGAGGGGAGCCCGAACATTTGGGTACCGCTTGTGTCTAGAATAGAGGCGCTTTCTGCTGCTTCGGTTTGATGAAATGCAGCAGTATTCGGAATATGTTCGAGGCATACCCAGATAACCGATACGGTCTGTTATTAGCTGAGCCAGCAATGTCTTATCAGGCGGCCAGCGGATCCCGCAGAAACATTTCGTTTTTTATTCTTACCTCTCTCAGCGCCTGTTCCACTCTCCTCTATCGCAAACCCCCGTTCCTTCCCCAGGTGTCCAGTTCGTACACAACTGGGGCGGCTCGGCACACACGTTCGGTCAGGCGGTGGCCGTGTCTGTCGACCTCTCGGGTAACGTGGTAGTGTTCCACCGCGCCTCACGCGCCTGGAGCGGTGGCTCGTTTAACGGCAACCGTCTGCGCGATACCAGCTCGCCCATTCCGGAGAACACCATCGTCTATCTGCGCAACGATACGGGAGAGATTGTCTTCCAGATGGGCGCCAGATTGTGAGTATTGGTGATAAGTGTGGTGGTGCGCAGGCTTGGGTCGTGTAGTCCGGGGAATCGTCATATGGTAGTAATTTTGGTCTGTGGTGAAAATGCGGGAAGTATGAATGGCGGTCTGCGTGTTATGGTGAGTGAATGATTGGTCGAATGAAATAGAGCTTATTCGTTGCCTTACCAGGCTTGTTTACTTGTATTCATGTGTGTGAGGGGTGGCGTCGCCTTATCATGGGATATTTGCCTCGTTTGCTTATCAAAATGTCATTTGGACTGTCGACTGGTACATGTGTGTTGTTAATTAGGCCGTGGTCGTCTGTCCGCTTGTATGCTAAGGGGTAAGGATAAGGCCGTGGAAAGTGTTTTTAGTCTTGCTTGGGACTCGCTATCTACGTCGCATTGGGGCTATCACGTCCCACTTTATGTGCGTATCTGCTACCATGTCCTTTGTCCGGCTTCTGAGCTCTTGTCTGTTACCGGTGACTGTGTGTGTGTCAAGTACGAACTCTGTCCATGTCCAAGTCCGACTGTCTACCCATCCGTCTTCCCGTCTGCCTCCATCCTAGTCTGTCCGACTGTATGTCCGGCTGTCTGTCTGTCCGTCTATTTGTCTGTCTGTGTCTGTCGAATGACGCCGGGCGCCGCTACCGCAGCTTCTACATGCCTCACGGCCTGACCATCGACCACGAGGACAACGTGTGGTGTACCGATGTCGGCATGCATCAGGTGAGGGCTGTGGGCTGCGGGCTGTGGGCCGTTGGGCTGCGGAACGCTGGGCTGTGTACCGTGAGATGGCCGGTGGGAGTACCCTACCGAAGCTGCACCCACACGAGGATGAAGGCCTGATACCTACGCAGAAGCGGCATCACTTGACCGCCTGCTCGGTACCGATGCTGTCAGCTGAAAATGCATTTGTCATCAATATGGTCGGAGCATGGGCTATAACTATCTTCCTAAGTGCGGCTAGCCTGTTACTGTTTGGCAGGATGTGCGCTCAACCATCAATATTTCTATCCCACGCTACTCAATGCCCATTAGCTCGGACTTTTTTAACTACGGTAGCTGCCCACGGCTGCTGGCCGATCAGGTCAATATGGCCCCATTCCACGGAACGACAGGCTGTGTTTACGTTTAGAATCAATGGAGTCTACTTATCTGACAAGCTGCCACCCACACTGCTCTCGCGTTTAAGCCGGCTCAAAGCTGAATGGACGTCCTGTAATGTAACTTGTTTGGCAGACTCACAGAAGCTGGTTTTACGATACTATCCGTTTGGTCTTGGATTATTGTTTAATTTATTTTGTGTTTTCTTTTCATCTGTTTGCTGAGCGTAAACTCATGTAGTTATTTCATAAATAGACAAAACGTTAAAGAAGGGTAAATTGCTGTACAGCCGTATATCGCTGTCCTATGTAAAATTTGCATTTCAATTTATAGTAAATGCACTGACAGGCATAACAACGTCAATTCGTCTACCTTCCACGGACCCGTCTAACGCACCCTGCCCGTGTCCAGGTGTTCAAGTTCAGCCCGCGCGGCGGGGACGGTACGCCGCAGCTCACCCTCGGCACCAAATTCGAGCCCGGCTCGGACGACTATCACTTCTGCAAGCCCACCTCGGTGGCTGTGATGCGCGACGGCTCGTTCTTCGTGGCTGACGGCTACTGTAACACGCGCATCCTCAAGTTCGGCCCCGGTGGCGGCCGGCCAGTGCGCACCGTCGGCCGGGCATCAAGTACGTTCGCTATTTTTGGTACGTGCCGACCGCCGACCGGCTGTTGGAGCTTTGAAACTGGGACGGAGGAGGTGGCAGAGGCGGCGGGTCTCACCACTCGAGCATGGGAGCTTGAATGTTATGTGGAACGTGTTGTGGGTTTAATATGCTGTACATATTAGTGAACTGGGTGAGCCTATGGTATGTGGAAACATTATTTTATGTATTTCTTGTAACCTTGTGACATGTTTCTCACTTATTATTTTCATAGTGCGCTTGTTTTGTGCCTCTCTGTGCTTTTGTGTCGGTCGATGCACAGTCTCCGTCGAGACAACTAAATCGCTTCCTAGCTTATCTCAATCTCAGTGTTCTTCGGGCCAGGCTGCTCTACGTGGTGTTTGTTTTCAAACCTTCAGCTTCAGTTTCATTCCATTTTCTTTCAGTAAAGGTAACTTGTTTTTCGTCAACATGGAGAGCAGTCCCAACGGCAACGACTACTGCATTTACTTTCTAACTACGAACGTTGGGTTATTTTGTTCTTTTTTCTTTGTGTCCTCTCAGAAATTACTCATCCTTGTGCATGGTTTAGGAGTCATTTAGGGACTTGTGTCGCAATTTGCACCGCAACATAGCCGCCACACACACCGTCATTTTCGCTGTTCAGTGTTTTTTTCGTCTTTCATCGCTTAGCCTGCTGCGGGACCGAATCAGCATCCTGACGCCGTTTCTGACACCCTTCATGATACGTAATGACTCCATCCCTTGTATATTTCTGACACCTTCCTCTGACGCAATCCGCCACCATCCCTTACCCTACATCCTCTCCGAATTCCTCTGGCGAAAACCCTCCCTTCTCGATGCCAGCCTCTCTGACACTTCCCTTTGACACATTATCAGCTGACACCCTCCCTGTGTCGGTGTTTCTCTCGCAGGCTCACTGCTCGGCCGTCCTCCTGCACTGGACGAGTTCAACATCCCTCACTCGCTGACGCTACTCGAGGACCGCAACATGATCTGTACGGCGGATAGAGAGAACGGACGCGTCGTCTGTTTCCGCGCCTCCGACCTCAGCGCTACGGATGTTACCATCAACTGGCAGCGCTCGAGGATCTACGGCCTGGCGTATTCGCCGCGCGATGGAGGTGCCCTCTTTGTTGTCAACGGGCCCAACTATGCCGGCAATAAGGTTCAGGGGTGAGTGGGTTGATGGGACGCAGAGGGGTAAGGGGGTCAGAGCTGGGTGGTGTTAGAACAGAGGGGATTTCACGTTACGGGGTGAGTGGGGAAGTGGCAGGGGGAGGGGAGTGACACTTTTTGCCCAGACGCTGACGTGTTCCGCTAGGGCCGTTTTGTAATAGACTGATGACACGTCCGTCCCGTGGTGCTCATTATGGATATTATGTATACTCATTACTACATTCGGTACATGCATTGCATATATTGCGACACATTCGCTATTTCTAAAAGGTTACGTGATGACTAATCAATACCCATTTCCGTTATCAGGCGAGCCATTATGGCAATGTGAGAATGAACGGTAAAAAAGTTTCGCTGTTTTTATGTTCACTTTGTTCTAATGTTATGACCACCTGTTTAACCCTCCCTCCCTTCTTTCCCAGTTACGTGGTGAGCGTGACGTCCAAGAGTGTGACGTCCACGTTCAGTCCGGACGGTAACGGCCTCTCGAACCCGCACGATGTGGCCGTGTCTCGGGACGGCTCGGCCGTCTATGTGGTCGAGCTGAACCCGCGCAAGGTGTGGCGCTTCAACGTCGGTGAGTGAGGAGCGGGCCGTGGATCAGCGGCTGGGGATGGTGGGCCGTCGGACGGACGGCAATGGGAGTTCAAACGGGTGTAGTGGGCTAGTTGTGGTCGAGTGTTTGATGCGCTAGTAGCTTTTCATGTTTTTATAGTGGACGTGTTATGAATAATGCATTTGTCATTTGGTTTTTTCTTATCGATTTGGTCGCATTTTGTGATGCCTGTGCTCCTGGCATGCTTTTCCAGAACAAATTTAGTTAGCTTTTGTTAGCTGTCTGCCCTTTGCGTGTGTTTTTTTTTTCGGCATTGTTCCATGCATTGTGCTGTGATGATAGCGCTTTTCTTTCCACACCATGGCTGGCTGACTGTTCTAGTGCCCCATATTTTGTTGCATTTCCATGTGACGCTTTATCGTCTGTTTGAACTGAAGTGCCTATTTGGTCCACCGTGTCCGTCCAGCCTGTCGTGCTTGCCCTGCCTTTCGTGCATGCCGTGTCCCCTGTAGTCGTATGCCCTGCCTGAACGTCCCCCTCTCCGTTCCCCATTGGCACAGACGGTCCCCACACCGCTCAGAAGAAGTCGAACGTGCAGACGAGCGCAGGTGAGCCGCCGAGGTGCCCGGGGTTCCCGGTATATCGCTATGGCTTCTTTTGATGGTGCGCTAATTTTGTTTTACGTTATTGGTTGTACGAGGCTATGGAGCTGCTCTTTGTTGGACTCGGGGTTATTGTGGAAGTTCATCGTCTAGTTTTTCGTTATTATATTTACCTGAGAATGATGGTGCACTAGCGATCTTATGTTCAACACCAATCGAACCGCCGATCATCAGTCGTATGAATTTATCGGGGTATTAACCGCTGTGTTCTTCTGCTCCAGCGGCTGGCGTAGCGGGAGGTGTTCAAGGTTAGTAATGGTCTTTGGATTACCAAGGACACAGATATATTTCACCGATCGTACTGACTACTGGGCATAAGCTTTACGTTTAGCATCGTTATTTTCTTAAATATCACTGCAACTGATCACAGTATCCAGGTCTTTTAATGGCTGCAATTCTATCAACATACCTAGAATTTGCGGCCATCAAAGCCCGTGTGCTGGTGTGTCATTGTTAATATTTTCTTTCTAACCTTTCATGGAATCCAGCACTCTGCTCGGCCACATCGACGCACTAATCCACTCTCTCCCTCTCTGTAGACCCCACGGTGGAGTTTGTCAAGTCTCCGGACGCTGCTGGCGACGACTCGGCGGCGCCGTCCCTCTCCGGGCACGCTAAGCTGGCGATGGCAGCCCTGTTCGGAGTCCCTGTGGTGCTGTTTGTGGTCATCATGGCCGTGCTGCGACTCAGGAAGAGAAGTAAGTTCGGGGACGGTAGTTTGGGGGAGGAGGGGCGGGTCCGTGTACTGGGCAACTGGGTATGGATGGGGAAAATGTGGTGGTTAGGCGACTTTCGGTCCGACACGTCTTGGTCGAGTGCCCGAGACTGGACGCTGAGCGATGGCGGTTTTTTGGATTGCGTGGCCCCCAGCTCTCTTTGAGAACACTTCTCCGCGACGACTCCCCTTTTCTCGATTCCTTTCGCCTCTTTTCGTTCATCACGGCCTCCGGGCTTCAGGTGATTTTTAACCCCCCGACTTTGAGGAAGATTGGTTAGATATGGGCGCCATATAGCCTCGTTGCTGGTGCGCCCTAAAACACCAAATCATCATCATCATCAGGAGTCGACCAAGAAGGCCGCGCTGGCGCTCCAGCCAGGATGTACGAGGGGCGAGGTTTTGATATATCTGTATTAGCATATACCTCTGTAGATACACCCGTCCGGGTGCAGGAGTCTGCAGGAGTCTTTCCTCCTCGCCTCATGATCCTGACAATGACGATTTAAAGTTAACTGCGCGGAACGGCGGGAGACGCTAATTGGGAGATAATGCGCAGTTTTCGCAGACGAATGCTTCTTTGCAAGATTTCCGCCCAAAATATCTCCAATTCTGCACACCTTTCATGCTAACATTTGTGCCACGCAGGCTGTTGCGATGCTTTTTTCGAGCACAAATAATATTGTTATGGGTGGTGATTGAACTGATTGTCAAGGGAAATGTACTCCTATTCTATTTTAGGACATGTGTTTTTGTCGTCACTTGTGACATTGTTTCGCCCGAAATCCGTCTGGTCTGGGGTTTAAATGTCATAGCATACAGCAATGGTCTTTAAACTTGGCATAAATTAAAGGTATTTAAACTTCGTAAGCAGAATGTTCGAGGATGGAGGAAAGCACACCGTTTGACCCGCATACTAATTAATTGGCCCAGCTAGCATATGGATCTTTGTCCTGACCTCAGAGGTCACCGATTGGCATGAGATCCTGAAGTAAGGTATGTACCCGTCGCTATGGCTCATAACGGCGCACACTTTTTCATGAACGTCTTGTTCACTTAGGGACGAAGCGGTGAAATAGTTGTACCCCCCCCCCCCCTCAGCTCGACCATTCTTTGACTTACAAATTTTACCTTCGTGAAAGACGTAACCCATGCTAGAAGCTGCGACCAGAGAGCTCAGCATTGAGCTACGGGATGGATTCGGACGTATAACCACCCGTCCCGAATGTGCAGGGCCACCGACGGAGCGAGCTAAGGATCACCGCCTGGTGGTCCTGAGCCCCGTGCAGCAGGGCCTCCATGGCGTCGTCTCCGATGACAATGAAAACGTTTCAACAATCTAGGCATGCACAGGTTTTAAACTATTTACAGCTTTTTTCTCGTAACAGGTAGGTACGTTTGCAAAGAAATATAATGCTTGGGTAATTTCCCAACTACCATGCTTCCCAACAAAAGGAAAAGGCAGAAGGGTAAATAAAAGGAGCTTCAACATTGACCCGTTACCGCCCTTGGCGTCAAAAATGGTCGCTGCACTGGGAGGGCGGACCTGTCCACGTCCCTTATTTGATTGGCTTTCCAGACCCTCTGAGCCTTCGGGAGGGATGCTTGGGCGCAAACATGCAGCCCCGAGGGACATCTCTCACAGGACCTAGATTTGGCAGGGTGTTAAAGTTGGTGATTTTATGACGTCACGACGTCATGCCGCGACTATCAAAGTCAATTTCCTCGCCAATGCTGCCATGATGAATACAAAGACTGCATTAGCGTGAAAGAGAAATGTTCATTCAATCATTCCTATCAAGCATTATCGCTTTGGTTGCATTTATGGTTTACAGCAACCCCGAAATTTTGGTCCACCAATTTCGACATCCCTGTGGGTCACTTTTAATGTGTGGGTCACTTTTAATGCACGTGCGTACCAAAAAGGTGTCAAGCTTGTTTCCATTACAATAGCTCGGGAATTACCACTGCGATCGCGCTACGGTTGGGGTGCTACTGCACGTGCACACGTTGAGCAGTCGCTTCCAGATCGCGAGAACGGCTGGGCCGATTGCGATCAAGCTCTATACACAGGTATGTAGGAGCCGGTCAGGGGGATAACGGGAAAAGTCAGTTTGAACCCAGATTTTTTTTTTTCTCTCTCTCTCTCTCTCTCTCTCTCTCTCTCTCTCTCTCTCTCTCTCTCTCTCTCTCTCTCTCTCTCTCTCTCTCTTTCTCTCTCTCTCTCTCTCTCTCTCTCTCTCTCTCTCTCTCTCTCTCTCTCTCTCTCTCTCTCCCTCTCCCTCTCCCTCTCCCTCTCCCTCTCCCTCTCCCTCTCCCTCTCCCCCTCCCCCTCCCCCGGACAGTTCTCGAGCCAGGTCAATCGATTGCGGCCGGGCACCTGAACTGTGTGGGTGTCCTAGTACCGACCGCCGCTCTCCCTCCTCCGCTCTGCACACCGGCCGTGATCGTCTCCCGCTCTTCTCTCCACTCTCCCCAGCTGTCTGTGATCTGGGACGGCCCTGTACCGTCCGTCCTAAACCCTGTCAGGGAGGGAGAACATGGCCACTCTGCCGTCCTCTCAAAGCGGCTATTCCAAAGGGAGTGGGAGGCTTTTGTAACCGGACCCTACCTACAGACTCTGACACGGCTGCTCCACTTTGACTGATGGGTCGCCTCTCGTCAGCTGTGCCCTGTCTAATCACACGTCTATTTCGGTTTGCTCACAGACCAGCGGCGGCGGTTCTTCCTGCATAACCTGAACGACGGCCCCGGCCACCGCAAAACCCTCGACTCGCTGCTAGGAACAAAGTCTCGCCAGGGCTTCGAGCCGCTCGCTACCCAGGATCTAGACGACGACTCAGATAGTGATGTAGAGGAGTTCATCGCTAAGATCAAGTCGCGCACCTGAGAGGCGAGTGAGGACGATCCGTGATTGGACAGTCCTGGGAGGGGTAAGTGAGGTAGGAGAATTGAGGCGGGTTTCGCGGTGGACAGGACCGCTCAGTGATGAAGTGACGCGGTGTGGATGCCGGACAGTGAGAGGTGGTGATGTGTCTCGCGGACTGCCTGTTGACGGTATGGTGACTGTACGGCAGTTTTGGCACTGAACCGCAGTGCCGAAGGATGGTGGTTGTGACGAATGTTGCGAAACCACGGCACTGAATTGCAGCACAGTGGTGACAGTGAGGATGGTTAGTGCAGTGGACTAAAGCACAGACTGTGGTGACAGGATGGTGATTGTGACGAATGATGCGGAACTTCTGAACTGGGTCCAGTGCAGTGGTGACAGGTGGTTGTGATGAATGGTGCGGAACCACTGGACAGGACGACTGGAGTGATGTGGCAAAGTGGCCATATGATGAACTCACTGCGCTGCAGTGGCTGGCTGGAATCTGCTGCTCCCAGCGCATGGAACCTGCCCTCGCCGGCAAATGAAAATTGCTCTTGCCAGGGTATGGAACCTATCCATGCCAATGCATGAGATCTGATAAGTCCATGTGTCGACCGTGCCATTCTCTACCTGGCGGCGCTGGCTGCGTCTCCCGCAGACTGAATCTACTTACGAGTATCCTAAGAGAACCGGTTTCGGCTGTTCTACTTGGCACTATCAGACCGAGACGAAGACGAACACCAAACTACTTACCGGGCTTACGGGGCTGTTTCATAGACATGATCTGTCGTGATGCTTCTTCGTTTTGTATGACTGTTTTTCATACTCCTTGCTTTTACATTCCTTGATGGTCGTGCAGTCTCGTGTAGACAACTGTCACAAATTTTACCTGAAGCCGTTTACCAACTCCTAGATTAGCATCTTTTGACTTCGCTGCCATATATTCCCACACTACTTAACCATACCTAGAATGCCCCGTATGGCTGCATCCATGACCAGCCGCCAAACTGCGACGAACGGTGGCTGCGGGTGCGAGAAAGAGCGGTCAGCCGCGCCGTCTCATTCTGTGGCCTGTGGTCACCAAATGCGGTCGATAACTGACCGTGAATGCGATTCGGTCGCGCTCTCATTGCTGCACACTAGGAACAGTGACGGCTAGGTTAGAGGCGAGGGTCATACAGACCGGTGCACTTACCGGAGACTGTATATAGGGCCTTGCCGGAGACCGGTCTATGCCTTCCTGTTCTCCGCTGGATCTGTGAATTTTAACCCCGTTCGTAGACAGGGCTGTCTGTGTGTCTGCCCGTCTGCCTGTTCGTCTGTCCATGTGTTTGGGTAGATGTTCGTCGAGTTTCTCCCCGGCTACCTTATTTGGCGTCGTTCGCCGCTCGCTCTGAATCTTTCCATAATAGGCGATGGTGTTTAGTTTCGCTGTTTTTCAGTTGGATGTAAGATATTGTGGCGACACTGGTATTTTACCCCGTTCGCTGATAGACTGTGACCTTGAAGGAGTAGGGATCTAGGCGGCTAGCAAGTGTTGTCGAAGCCTTTTTTGCTTTTATCAGCACAATTCTGATGGTGCTGATTTGGAAGGCATTCATACCTAGACACGGGGTTGTTGGCTGGAATTGTACTATTTTATTCATTGGTTTTGGTATATTTTATTTTAATATATTTAAATATGCGTTATTAGTGAACGATAACGTGAATAAATGTGAATCTTTCTACATTTTGTTTTTCGTTTTCGTATTTCGTCAGATCGTTCATAGTGAGCGATGTATAGTATTGTGCGTTTTCCCGAGCGGTCAGCCCGAGGCCCGGCCTGCGGTGTGCCGGGAGTCGGGACCGGCGTGTTATCGCGCAGTGACGGGTGGCGTGTCACAGAGCGGTGGGGGCGGTGGGCCCACGCACGCTACCCGGTGGGAGCCCCGAGGGACCGACGTCATGACTGTCGTGACCTTCAGCAGCTAGAGCTGCTAGGATTGCGCCTTCCCGCGGTACGTTGCAGAATCTAGTGCTTCCCTACCCTACCGCGCTACATGGCATGAATCCCTCTCTTCTAGCCTGACAAATTGGATTTTTAGGGCGCTTACTACGCTTGCGCGTGTGCCGTACAGTTTGGGCCAGATTTTGTAATGCAATTCACCCAGACATTATATTTTAGTAATCGTGGCAGCAGTGTCCCAAAACTTGTCGATTTGGGTGAGAAACAACAACCAAATGAAAATCATTTTTCACTCTCACCTTCAAATATTCAGAGCAATTTTCCACTCCCATTCTTACAAAGCAAGAAAAAAAACACCCACGTAGAGGGTAGTTTACATCCTGCATTCTACCTACCACACTTGAAGGTGTAAAGCTATGGTATTGATCGTTTTTCAACTCTTTTTGGGTCTCATATGGCCCACAATTTTCCACTCCCATACCACTTTTGGTGATGAATTTTTCCTCTGACACCCAAGCCAAAATACAATTTTGGGACACTGCGTGGCAGTTCTGACGACGTTATCAAGTGATAGGCTTAAGTCCTTTTTTATGGCTGTGTTGAAGATGGACAGAAACGATAGCATGAAGAACTTGTGTGGCGCGGGCGGTAATTTAGTGTCAAACATTGTGCATCCATACCAACTACCTTAGTTGGTATGGCTAGTTGGTAATGCAGTGGCTTTAGCAGATTAGATGTCAGTGGCATCCTCATACAACCTGATTACATAGGAAGAAATGATCACAGCAAAAAGGTTAGACGACTTCAATCACGACTTTTGTCCTATCACAACTCATATTTTCCTCGAACTATCCGTGACTGGAACAACTTGTCTGCGAGGCTCATAGAAGCAGAAAGTGCCGCAGCTTTCCAAAAATATGTCTTAGAAGAAAATAACAATTAGTTTTTATTAACAATAGAAGTCCCCTTGCGAACGACAAATGCTTGAAATCAATTGTATGTCGACTATTTTCACATTACATAACTTATGCTCTGTTTACTGTATGCCTGGCCTATTCAAATACATTAGCCAGAGGGGTGTGGTAATAACTGGTGTAAGCAAATTGACCACGGTCAAAAATGCATTACCAGAATGCACTTAAGCGAACATTTTGGGATGGTCTCGTTCCTAAGTCGGCTAAGAGCTTCGGTCCAGAAAATAAATTTATCGTTGGCATACAGTAAAATACATACCAAACTCGGCCGGTGATAAATTTTCAAGACCTCAGTCCTTACTGATTTTTGAACTCGGCCTTCGGCCTCGTTCAAAAATCCAGTAAGGACCTCGGTCTTGAAAATTTATTTACACCGGCCTCGTTCAGTATTATATAGTACTGTGTGCCTATCATTGTAAAAATGTCAAAATGTGCATGGAACGAACGTGTGCGATTGTCTTGTTAGAAATGAGAGAGCAACCTGAATGTGATTGCGTATGACTGTTAGATGGATGGATGCTGGTCATCGTCATCGTCATGCGTTTTAGCAAACATCACCAAGGCCATTCTTTGGCAACTGTGATTGTGTCGCATGAATATATGAATAGTTACCTCCTGGTCACCAAAGGCAGTAGCAAGCCATTCACTTCAGGGACTACTTCCTCTTAGAAAGTTGTACTTGTACCAGCCGTTACACCATCTGTATTGAGGTCGATGCTGCAGTCTGCGATCGTGACTTCAAAAGTACAGTTCCGAGCATCAACACGTGGACAGAGGAGGTACGGTGAGGAAGCCGTCCAATTCTCTCTGGAACAGATCGACACGGAAAGTCCCAGCGGGCTACGGGACAACACCGACCTTCAGGGGCGTTCAGTGCACCGGAAGATCCGGGAATATTCGCTACGAATTGGCGCCGACATTCCAACTCATAGGCCGCAAATTTGCAGTTTGCCTCAAGCAACTATCCGCCGTTGGCTGGACTGGCTTTCGATTTATTCAAGGAACAGAACACGGTTAGCAAAGGTAATCGCACGTAACAGTCTACATTCTGTATTTTTAATGACTTGAAATAATCAGCTTGCTGCATCAGGAAACCGCAGTTTGAGTAAACAAGACGCATCTACACCGTGACTCTTGACTACAAGCTATTGACGATAAAGACGGTTAACACTACTACACATCGTCACAGAACAGGGAACGGTTACGTAACATGGCGCGGGCACATTAAACGAGCTCTGTGGAACAGACAGCGGCTCACTGGAATCCATCACCACCATCCCAGCCTCAGCCCAGCGCGGTCTTACGATAGTCCCAGGCCTCACCTCCAAGGAAACGCCTCCTTCGACAATATCAACACCTTCCATAAAGCGATAAGAAGCGTTATTGTTACACATTACAAAAATAGCACACACACGCATACAATAGAGGTGGGCTGTTACATAAGCTCTGTGTCGCTCTGCGCCGCGCAGCTCGGAGCCACCGCCGACAGCTACCTCCTGGCTCTTAGCTTGGAGCCAGACTCTTGGCTCGGAGCTGGGCTCTTGGCTTATTAAGCTCCCGCTAGATGGCGCTAAGGACGCTCATAAAAATCCGGCTGCAGCACGAACTTTGAGACGCGGGCGGGCACCAGCTCACCGACATAGGTGGTGCGGCCGTCGGAGGTAACGGCTAGATCGTGGGGCTCGTTCAGACCCTAATGAGACACAAATGATCGCTGTCAGATCATGGGGCTTGTCCACACCCCATAGTTCACATCCTTAGGGGACTCACGGGGTCAGTCAGGTCATAAGTCTTGTCCAAACCCTATAGGAACACACGGGGTCATTCAGGTCATGGGGCTCGTTTCGACCCTGAGGGGACACACGGGTCAGGTCATGGGGTTCGTTCAGGTTCAGACCAAGATGGGACGCACATCATGAGCGGCGAACCTCGAGACTCGCTCGAAACATGAGGCAACACACTGAAGTTCAGATCATTGCACTCATTCGGGCGTGAATAGTTGCGCTAGTATCATCGACATCAAGAGTACTTGCAACCATTGGAACAAACTGCAGTGAACTGGTGCGATGGCGCGGAAAACCAACTGAGACTCTCGCTCGCACCGATAACCGCTCGTAAAGTCACTCAGATGAAAAGCGATGAGATGAGATCCTCCTACGTGTATCCGGTTTCTAAGAGCATTTGGCGTGAAATGGCTCATGGTGGTGGTCGGTTAGCCCATTCCCTGTGCCGTCTGTCATTCCCAGGTAAAACGAATATTTACGGTCTTACACAGCTGCACGCGAGATTTCTGAGTAATGTAGGCGAGCTGGCGAGCCGAAATCGCCGTGTAATGGAGGATTTCCAGCAGCTGTGCACAGGCAGCGCTCAGCCCACGGCAGGGGCGCGGCTCGGGTCCAGAAATACCCGTCCGAACACCGCCATTCTTTCTGAAACTCCTCACACGGCCACCATCCCCGCCCACCGTTCAAGTTGGACGGCTCGACATCAATTTCCGCGTGGGCTATAACGGTATGACGCCGAGCATTGTCGCTGTACCTCGTCTAATAAACCGTGATTGAACGAGTAATATCCGTCAGTGGGGGGAAATCTCAGTGATGTGTTACCCAGAAAGAAGCCATTCCGCGCAGCCCTTACTCATCGACCCGCGCCATGTGGGGTTATGTGCCCGGTACTGATCTTGTTATGAGCACTCGTCAGCGCCGTGCTATTTTGACCGACAACAGGCGGATGGGAACGATACTTGGTATCCCTCACAAGTTCTGAACCCCGGCAGCGCAAACCTATGCGGTCCCTCAGAACTTCCATCAGTCTTATCAGTCTTTCGACCATAGAATCAGCATATCACCACTTTCACCAATATCACATCTATCGTAATGTGTCTCAGCTATCCCATACTATTTCATCTGTCCCACTGTGTCGCACCTGTACAAACTGCGCCCCACTCTCCCCCTTGTCCCACGGCGTATCATCTTCCCCATTGGCCTCACTTATCTCACTGTGTGTTAGGTACTGTCTCGCAATATCTTACCTGAGCGGCCACCCAGATGTCCAGCACCAGTCCGGTGACCAGGTCGATGGTCAGGACTCCGCCGTGTCTCACTGTCTCACTTATCTCACTGTCTTACTGTTTCTTACCTGAGCGGCCACCCAGCTGTCTAGCACCAGCCCAGTGACCAGGTCGATAGTCAGCACTCCGCCGCCCGACAGGCTCTTGAACACCGCCAACAGCACGTCTCCTGGGGGTGCAGCCAGGCGGTCAGTTGTAGCGTAGTTGTAGCTGATATGTAAGATTATGTAATAGCCACGTATGCAATTATGCATGCATATTGCATATCGCATATGCTTACTTACTGGCGGAGGAAGTTCGAGGAAGGGACTCGAGTTTCAACTATATCTAACGGCGATTGAAGACAGAACAATCGGCTATCGCTGTGCAATGCGCAGTATCCATCGTGTCGGCTGGTTCTGTAGAGCGATACGATCCTTGCAACTGTGATCGTTACTGACGAGATATCCATATCCAACGTAAGAAGATGGATGTATCGAATGATCGAGGAAGTTAACCACATGGCGGATAAAAGCATTCACATTTGAAACGACTTTCAAATTTCAATATAGCTTGTCGTTTATGACCATGACCAATAGCCGAGGCCCAATCAGACCCGTCCCGCCGTTTAGAGGGGGCGCGTGCCGTCTGCTCGAAGCCGGCCGCGGCCCAAAATCCTGCAAAGATACGCCCGCCACGTGCAAACCACCGAACCCACCCCCACCAAAATTTAATACGACAAACAGATGCACGCGTCCGACTTAAGTCCAAAATTTCACCCCCGTAGCCCGCACTGTTCCGGAGTAATAGCCCGCCAAGCGTGACTGACGCGTTACATACATACATACATACATACGGACATTTTGATTTTTATATATGTAACTAGAGGGACAGCATTACGCGCAGCGTAAAGAGGGACAGCATTACGTACAGCGTAATAAATCAAGTTTCAATAATATCGGCCCAGTAGCGGCCGAGTTATGGCCAGAATAAATTTGGCGTCTCCTCCTAGCCGGCGGTGCCCTGTTCCGGTATTCATTGCCAAAGGTCAGTGACCTTCCGGCTCTGATTTCCCTCAGTTTTTAAAGCGAAGAAACTGAGCCTAAGGCGCGTGCTCTCTGATCGGCGACGGCCGCGGCCCAAAATGCTGCAAAGATGCGCCCGCCACGTGCAAACCACCGAACCCACCCCCACCAAAATTTAATACGACAAACAGATGCACGCGTCCGACTTGCACCCAAAATTTCACCCCCGTAGCCCGCACCGTTCCGGAGCAATAGCCCGCCAAGCGTGACTGACGCGTTACATACATACATACATACATACATACATACGTACAGACGTTTTGATTTTTATATATGTAAATGTATTTTATCACATGACATCACCCGAATGATGCTTGAAATGACATTCAAAATACTTTTAAATTTCTAATATATTTGGTTGGGTGCAAACATTGCGAAACACAAAAGATAATACAATTATCACGTGAGTGTAGAGAAATGTCATAGATGCGTCAGATTTGTAATTTGGGCTTATCTCAAAAGATCCGATCTACCTGTTTTTTAAATGAAAGTTATTTATTGCAGAAAGAAATGTCACTTTTCGCAGCGAAGAAACTGAGCCTAGGGCGCGTGCCGTCTGCTCGAAGCCGGCCGCGGCCCAAAATCCTGCAAAGATACGCCCGCCACGTGCAAACCACCGAACCCACCCCCACCAAAATTTAATACGACAAACAGATGCACGCGTCCGACTTAAGTCCAAAATTTCACCCCCGTATCCCGCACCGTTCCGGAGCAATAGCCCGCCAAGCGTGACTGACGCGTTACATACATACATACATACGTACAGACGTTTTGATTTTTATATATGTAAACCAGAGGGACAGCATTACGCGCAACGTAATAAACCAAGTTTCATAAAAATCGGCCCAGTAGCGGCCGAGTTATGGCCAGAATAAATTTAGCGTCTCCTCCTGGCCGGCGGTGCTCTGTTCCGGTATTCATTGCCAAAGGTCAGTGACCTGCCGGCTCTGATTTCGCCCAGTTTTGCAGCGAAGAAACTGAGCCTAAGGCGCGTGCTCTCTGCTCGGTGCCGGCCGCGGCCCAAAATCCCGCAAAGATGCGCCCGCCACGTGCAAACCGGCGAGCGCACCCCCACCAAAATTTAATACGACAAACAGATGCACGCGTCCGACTTAAGTCCAAAATTTCACCCCCGTAGCCCGCACTGTTCCTGAGCAATAGCCCGCCAAGCGTGACTGACGCGTTACATACATACATACGGACATTTTGATTTTTATATAAGTAATGCACTGGCAGGCATGCCACGTCTTTAGTCGCCTACCTTCCACGGACTCGTCTAACGCTCGCTGTCCGTGTCCAGGTATTCAAGTTCAGCCCGCGCGGCGGGGACGGTACGCCGCAGCTCACCCTCGGCACAAAGTTCGAGCCCGGCTCGGACGACTATCACTTCTGCAAGCCCACCTCAGTCGCTGTGATGCGCGACGGCTCGTTCTTCGTGGCTGACGGCTACTGTAACACGCGCATCCTCAAGTTTGGTCCCGGCGGCGGCCGGCCAGTGCGCACCGTCGGCCGGGCATCAAGTACGTTCGCTATTTTTGGTACGTGCCGACCGCCGACCGGCTGTTAGAGCTTTGAAACTGGGACGGAGGAGGTGGCAGAGGCGGCGGGTCTCACCACTCGAGCATGGGAGCTATATGTGGAACGTGTTGTGGGTTTAATATGCTGTATATATTACTGACCCTGGTGAGGCCTGGTGAGGCTATGGTATGTGGAAACATGTTTTGCTCATTTATGATTTTCATAGTGCGCTTGTTTTTGTTTTTTTGTGCTTCTTCCTACCTTTTGTGTCGGTCGTTGCCCAGTCATCGTTGCGATAACTAAATCGCTTCCTGGCTTATCTCAGTATTCTTCTCGCCCGTCTGTTTTGCTAGTGTTTGTTAAACAACATTCAGCTACAGCTTCACTCGATTTTCTTTCAGTATTTGAACAGCTTGGTTGTATCTACGTAAAGATCAATTCCAACTTTTAGTACGTGTACTTCTTAACTGTGAACGTAAAGTTATTTTGTTCCTTTTTGTTTGTTGTCTCTATTGAAGCTCATACATACTGTATCTTGAGCAGATGATTTAATGGCTTATGACGCGCTTTGCATCGCAACAATAGCCGTCCCCACAATGTCACTTTCGCTGTTCAGTGTTTTTCTTATTTTTTTGTCCTTCCCTTCTTCGTCGCTTAGCCCGCTACTGGACCGAATCAGCAGCCTGACGCCCTTTCTGACGCCCTCCATGATACTTGATATGATACCATCCCTGGCTTCCCCCCCCCCTTGACGCCTTAGACGCACAATTCGCCACCATCCCTGGCACCCTATCCGAAGTCCTCTGACGAAAACCCTCCCTTCTCGATGCGTAGCCTCCTTGACACCTCCCTTTGACACATTATCAGCTGACGCCCCTCCCTGTGTCGGTGTTTCTCTCGCAGGCTCACTGCTCGGCCGTCCGCCGGCGCTGGACGAGTTCAACATCCCTCACTCACTGGCACTCCTCGAGGACCGCAACATGATCTGTACGGCGGACAGAGAGAACAGACGCGTCGTCTGTTTCCGCGCCTCCGACCTCAGCGCTACGGATGTTACCATCAACTGGCAGCGCTCGAGGATCTACGGCCTGGCGTATTCGCCGCGCGATGGAGGTGCCCTCTTTGTTGTCAACGGGCCCAACTATGCCGGCAATAAGGTTCAGGGGTGAGTGGGTTGATGGGACGCAGAGGGGTAAGGGGGTCAGAGCTGGGTGGTGTTAGAACAGAGGGGATTTCACGTTACGGGGTGAGTGGGGAAGTGGCAGGGGGAGGGGAGTGACACTTTTTGCCCAGACGCTGACGTGTTCCGCTAGGGCCGTTTTGTAATAGACTGATGACACGTCCGTCCCGTGGTGCTCATTATGGATATTATGTATACTCATTACTACATTCGGTACATGCATTGCATATATTGCGACACATTCGCTATTTCTAAAAGGTTACGTGATGACTAATCAATACCCATTTCCGTTATCAGGCGAGCCATTATGGCAATGTGAGAATGAACGGTAAAAAAGTTTCGCTGTTTTTATGTTCACTTTGTTCTAATGTTATGACCACCTGTTTAACCCTCCCTCCCTTCTTTCCCAGTTACGTGGTGAGCGTGACGTCCAAGAGTGTGACGTCCACGTTCAGTCCGGACGGTAACGGCCTCTCGAACCCGCACGATGTGGCCGTGTCTCGGGACGGCTCGGCCGTCTATGTGGTCGAGCTGAACCCGCGCAAGGTGTGGCGCTTCAACGTCGGTGAGTGAGGAGCGGGCCGTGGATCAGCGGCTGGGGATGGTGGGCCGTCGGACGGACGGCAATGGGAGTTCAAACGGGTGTAGTGGGCTAGTTGTGGTCGAGTGTTTGATGCGCTAGTAGCTTTTCATGTTTTTATAGTGGACGTGTTATGAATAATGCATTTGTCATTTGGTTTTTTCTTATCGATTTGGTCGCATTTTGTGATGCCTGTGCTCCTGGCATGCTTTTCCAGAACAAATTTAGTTAGCTTTTGTTAGCTGTCTGCCCTTTGCGTGTGTTTTTTTTTCGGCATTGTTCCATGCATTGTGCTGTGATGATAGCGCTTTTCTTTCCACACCATGGCTGGCTGACTGTTCTAGTGCCCCATATTTTGTTGCATTTCCATGTGACGCTTTATCGTCTGTTTGAACTGAAGTGCCTATTTGGTCCACCGTGTCCGTCCAGCCTGTCGTGCTTGCCCTGCCTTTCGTGCATGCCGTGTCCCCTGTAGTCGTATGCCCTGCCTGAACGTCCCCCTCTCCGTTCCCCATTGGCACAGACGGTCCCCACACCGCTCAGAAGAAGTCGAACGTGCAGACGAGCGCAGGTGAGCCGCCGAGGTGCCCGGGGTTCCCGGTATATCGCTATGGCTTCTTTTGATGGTGCGCTAATTTTGTTTTACGTTATTGGTTGTACGAGGCTATGGAGCTGCTCTTTGTTGGACTCGGGGTTATTGTGGAAGTTCATCGTCTAGTTTTTCGTTATTATATTTACCTGAGAATGATGGTGCACTAGCGATCTTATGTTCAACACCAATCGAACCGCCGATCATCAGTCGTATGAATTTATCGGGGTATTAACCGCTGTGTTCTTCTGCTCCAGCGGCTGGCGTAGCGGGAGGTGTTCAAGGTTAGTAATGGTCTTTGGATTACCAAGGACACAGATATATTTCACCGATCGTACTGACTACTGGGCATAAGCTTTACGTTTAGCATCGTTATTTTCTTAAATATCACTGCAACTGATCACAGTATCCAGGTCTTTTAATGGCTGCAATTCTATCAACATACCTAGAATTTGCGGCCATCAAAGCCCGTGTGCTGGTGTGTCATTGTTAATATTTTCTTTCTAACCTTTCATGGAATCCAGCACTCTGCTCGGCCACATCGACGCACTAATCCACTCTCTCCCTCTCTGTAGACCCCACGGTGGAGTTTGTCAAGTCTCCGGACGCTGCTGGCGACGACTCGGCGGCGCCGTCCCTCTCCGGGCACGCTAAGCTGGCGATGGCAGCCCTGTTCGGAGTCCCTGTGGTGCTGTTTGTGGTCATCATGGCCGTGCTGCGACTCAGGAAGAGAAGTAAGTTCGGGGACGGTAGTTTGGGGGAGGAGGGGCGGGTCCGTGTACTGGGCAACTGGGTATGGATGGGGAAAATGTGGTGGTTAGGCGACTTTCGGTCCGACACGTCTTGGTCGAGTGCCCGAGACTGGACGCTGAGCGATGGCGGTTTTTTGGATTGCGTGGCCCCCAGCTCTCTTTGAGAACACTTCTCCGCGACGACTCCCCTTTTCTCGATTCCTTTCGCCTCTTTTCGTTCATCACGGCCTCCGGGCTTCAGGTGATTTTTAACCCCCCGACTTTGAGGAAGATTGGTTAGATATGGGCGCCATATAGCCTCGTTGCTGGTGCGCCCTAAAACACCAAATCATCATCATCATCAGGAGTCGACCAAGAAGGCCGCGCTGGCGCTCCAGCCAGGATGTACGAGGGGCGAGGTTTTGATATATCTGTATTAGCATATACCTCTGTAGATACACCCGTCCGGGTGCAGGAGTCTGCAGGAGTCTTTCCTCCTCGCCTCATGATCCTGACAATGACGATTTAAAGTTAACTGCGCGGAACGGCGGGAGACGCTAATTGGGAGATAATGCGCAGTTTTCGCAGACGAATGCTTCTTTGCAAGATTTCCGCCCAAAATATCTCCAATTCTGCACACCTTTCATGCTAACATTTGTGCCACGCAGGCTGTTGCGATGCTTTTTTCGAGCACAAATAATATTGTTATGGGTGGTGATTGAACTGATTGTCAAGGGAAATGTACTCCTATTCTATTTTAGGACATGTGTTTTTGTCGTCACTTGTGACATTGTTTCGCCCGAAATCCGTCTGGTCTGGGGTTTAAATGTCATAGCATACAGCAATGGTCTTTAAACTTGGCATAAATTAAAGGTATTTAAACTTCGTAAGCAGAATGTTCGAGGATGGAGGAAAGCACACCGTTTGACCCGCATACTAATTAATTGGCCCAGCTAGCATATGGATCTTTGTCCTGACCTCAGAGGTCACCGATTGGCATGAGATCCTGAAGTAAGGTATGTACCCGTCGCTATGGCTCATAACGGCGCACACTTTTTCATGAACGTCTTGTTCACTTAGGGACGAAGCGGTGAAATAGTTGTACCCCCCCCCCCCCCTCAGCTCGACCATTCTTTGACTTACAAATTTTACCTTCGTGAAAGACGTAACCCATGCTAGAAGCTGCGACCAGAGAGCTCAGCATTGAGCTACGGGATGGATTCGGACGTATAACCACCCGTCCCGAATGTGCAGGGCCACCGACGGAGCGAGCTAAGGATCACCGCCTGGTGGTCCTGAGCCCCGTGCAGCAGGGCCTCCATGGCGTCGTCTCCGATGACAATGAAAACGTTTCAACAATCTAGGCATGCACAGGTTTTAAACTATTTACAGCTTTTTTCTCGTAACAGGTAGGTACGTTTGCAAAGAAATATAATGCTTGGGTAATTTCCCAACTACCATGCTTCCCAACAAAAGGAAAAGGCAGAAGGGTAAATAAAAGGAGCTTCAACATTGACCCGTTACCGCCCTTGGCGTCAAAAATGGTCGCTGCACTGGGAGGGCGGACCTGTCCACGTCCCTTATTTGATTGGCTTTCCAGACCCTCTGAGCCTTCGGGAGGGATGCTTGGGCGCAAACATGCAGCCCCGAGGGACATCTCTCACAGGACCTAGATTTGGCAGGGTGTTAAAGTTGGTGATTTTATGACGTCACGACGTCATGCCGCGACTATCAAAGTCAATTTCCTCGCCAATGCTGCCATGATGAATACAAAGACTGCATTAGCGTGAAAGAGAAATGTTCATTCAATCATTCCTATCAAGCATTATCGCTTTGGTTGCATTTATGGTTTACAGCAACCCCGAAATTTTGGTCCACCAATTTCGACATCCCTGTGGGTCACTTTTAATGTGTGGGTCACTTTTAATGCACGTGCGTACCAAAAAGGTGTCAAGCTTGTTTCCATTACAATAGCTCGGGAATTACCACTGCGATCGCGCTACGGTTGGGGTGCTACTGCACGTGCACACGTTGAGCAGTCGCTTCCAGATCGCGAGAACGGCTGGGCCGATTGCGATCAAGCTCTATACACAGGTATGTAGGAGCCGGTCAGGGGGATAACGGGAAAAGTCAGTTTGAACCCAGATTTTTTCTCTCTCTCTCTCTCTCTCTCTCTCTCTCTCTCTCTCTCTCTCTCTCTCTCTCTCTCTCTCTCTCTCTCTCTCTCTCTCTCTCTCTCTCTCTCTCTCTCTCTCTCTCTCTCTCTCTCTCTCTCCCTCTCCCTCTCCCTCTCCCTCTCCCTCTCCCTCTCCCTCTCCCTCTCCCCCTCCCCCTCCCCCGGACAGTTCTCGAGCCAGGTCAATCGATTGCGGCCGGGCACCTGAACTGTGTGGGTGTCCTAGTACCGACCGCCGCTCTCCCTCCTCCGCTCTGCACACCGGCCGTGATCGTCTCCCGCTCTTCTCTCCACTCTCCCCAGCTGTCTGTGATCTGGGACGGCCCTGTACCGTCCGTCCTAAACCCTGTCAGGGAGGGAGAACATGGCCACTCTGCCGTCCTCTCAAAGCGGCTATTCCAAAGGGAGTGGGAGGCTTTTGTAACCGGACCCTACCTACAGACTCTGACACGGCTGCTCCACTTTGACTGATGGGTCGCCTCTCGTCAGCTGTGCCCTGTCTAATCACACGTCTATTTCGGTTTGCTCACAGACCAGCGGCGGCGGTTCTTCCTGCATAACCTGAACGACGGCCCCGGCCACCGCAAAACCCTCGACTCGCTGCTAGGAACAAAGTCTCGCCAGGGCTTCGAGCCGCTCGCTACCCAGGATCTAGACGACGACTCAGATAGTGATGTAGAGGAGTTCATCGCTAAGATCAAGTCGCGCACCTGAGAGGCGAGTGAGGACGATCCGTGATTGGACAGTCCTGGGAGGGGTAAGTGAGGTAGGAGAATTGAGGCGGGTTTCGCGGTGGACAGGACCGCTCAGTGATGAAGTGACGCGGTGTGGATGCCGGACAGTGAGAGGTGGTGATGTGTCTCGCGGACTGCCTGTTGACGGTATGGTGACTGTACGGCAGTTTTGGCACTGAACCGCAGTGCCGAAGGATGGTGGTTGTGACGAATGTTGCGAAACCACGGCACTGAATTGCAGCACAGTGGTGACAGTGAGGATGGTTAGTGCAGTGGACTAAAGCACAGACTGTGGTGACAGGATGGTGATTGTGACGAATGATGCGGAACTTCTGAACTGGGTCCAGTGCAGTGGTGACAGGTGGTTGTGATGAATGGTGCGGAACCACTGGACAGGACGACTGGAGTGATGTGGCAAAGTGGCCATATGATGAACTCACTGCGCTGCAGTGGCTGGCTGGAATCTGCTGCTCCCAGCGCATGGAACCTGCCCTCGCCGGCAAATGAAAATTGCTCTTGCCAGGGTATGGAACCTATCCATGCCAATGCATGAGATCTGATAAGTCCATGTGTCGACCGTGCCATTCTCTACCTGGCGGCGCTGGCTGCGTCTCCCGCAGACTGAATCTACTTACGAGTATCCTAAGAGAACCGGTTTCGGCTGTTCTACTTGGCACTATCAGACCGAGACGAAGACGAACACCAAACTACTTACCGGGCTTACGGGGCTGTTTCATAGACATGATCTGTCGTGATGCTTCTTCGTTTTGTATGACTGTTTTTCATACTCCTTGCTTTTACATTCCTTGATGGTCGTGCAGTCTCGTGTAGACAACTGTCACAAATTTTACCTGAAGCCGTTTACCAACTCCTAGATTAGCATCTTTTGACTTCGCTGCCATATATTCCCACACTACTTAACCATACCTAGAATGCCCCGTATGGCTGCATCCATGACCAGCCGCCAAACTGCGACGAACGGTGGCTGCGGGTGCGAGAAAGAGCGGTCAGCCGCGCCGTCTCATTCTGTGGCCTGTGGTCACCAAATGCGGTCGATAACTGACCGTGAATGCGATTCGGTCGCGCTCTCATTGCTGCACACTAGGAACAGTGACGGCTAGGTTAGAGGCGAGGGTCATACAGACCGGTGCACTTACCGGAGACTGTATATAGGGCCTTGCCGGAGACCGGTCTATGCCTTCCTGTTCTCCGCTGGATCTGTGAATTTTAACCCCGTTCGTAGACAGGGCTGTCTGTGTGTCTGCCCGTCTGCCTGTTCGTCTGTCCATGTGTTTGGGTAGATGTTCGTCGAGTTTCTCCCCGGCTACCTTATTTGGCGTCGTTCGCCGCTCGCTCTGAATCTTTCCATAATAGGCGATGGTGTTTAGTTTCGCTGTTTTTCAGTTGGATGTAAGATATTGTGGCGACACTGGTATTTTACCCCGTTCGCTGATAGACTGTGACCTTGAAGGAGTAGGGATCTAGGCGGCTAGCAAGTGTTGTCGAAGCCTTTTTTGCTTTTATCAGCACAATTCTGATGGTGCTGATTTGGAAGGCATTCATACCTAGACACGGGGTTGTTGGCTGGAATTGTACTATTTTATTCATTGGTTTTGGTATATTTTATTTTAATATATTTAAATATGCGTTATTAGTGAACGATAACGTGAATAAATGTGAATCTTTCTACATTTTGTTTTTCGTTTTCGTATTTCGTCAGATCGTTCATAGTGAGCGATGTATAGTATTGTGCGTTTTCCCGAGCGGTCAGCCCGAGGCCCGGCCTGCGGTGTGCCGGGAGTCGGGACCGGCGTGTTATCGCGCAGTGACGGGTGGCGTGTCACAGAGCGGTGGGGGCGGTGGGCCCACGCACGCTACCCGGTGGGAGCCCCGAGGGACCGACGTCATGACTGTCGTGACCTTCAGCAGCTAGAGCTGCTAGGATTGCGCCTTCCCGCGGTACGTTGCAGAATCTAGTGCTTCCCTACCCTACCGCGCTACATGGCATGAATCCCTCTCTTCTAGCCTGACAAATTGGATTTTTAGGGCGCTTACTACGCTTGCGCGTGTGCCGTACAGTTTGGGCCAGATTTTGTAATGCAATTCACCCAGACATTATATTTTAGTAATCGTGGCAGCAGTGTCCCAAAACTTGTCGATTTGGGTGAGAAACAACAACCAAATGAAAATCATTTTTCACTCTCACCTTCAAATATTCAGAGCAATTTTCCACTCCCATTCTTACAAAGCAAGAAAAAAACACCCACGTAGAGGGTAGTTTACATCCTGCATTCTACCTACCACACTTGAAGGTGTAAAGCTATGGTATTGATCGTTTTTCAACTCTTTTTGGGTCTCATATGGCCCACAATTTTCCACTCCCATACCACTTTTGGTGATGAATTTTTCCTCTGACACCCAAGCCAAAATACAATTTTGGGACACTGCGTGGCAGTTCTGACGACGTTATCAAGTGATAGGCTTAAGTCCTTTTTTATGGCTGTGTTGAAGATGGACAGAAACGATAGCATGAAGAACTTGTGTGGCGCGGGCGGTAATTTAGTGTCAAACATTGTGCATCCATACCAACTACCTTAGTTGGTATGGCTAGTTGGTAATGCAGTGGCTTTAGCAGATTAGATGTCAGTGGCATCCTCATACAACCTGATTACATAGGAAGAAATGATCACAGCAAAAAGGTTAGACGACTTCAATCACGACTTTTGTCCTATCACAACTCATATTTTCCTCGAACTATCCGTGACTGGAACAACTTGTCTGCGAGGCTCATAGAAGCAGAAAGTGCCGCAGCTTTCCAAAAATATGTCTTAGAAGAAAATAACAATTAGTTTTTATTAACAATAGAAGTCCCCTTGCGAACGACAAATGCTTGAAATCAATTGTATGTCGACTATTTTCACATTACATAACTTATGCTCTGTTTACTGTATGCCTGGCCTATTCAAATACATTAGCCAGAGGGGTGTGGTAATAACTGGTGTAAGCAAATTGACCACGGTCAAAAATGCATTACCAGAATGCACTTAAGCGAACATTTTGGGATGGTCTCGTTCCTAAGTCGGCTAAGAGCTTCGGTCCAGAAAATAAATTTATCGTTGGCATACAGTAAAATACATACCAAACTCGGCCGGTGATAAATTTTCAAGACCTCAGTCCTTACTGATTTTTGAACTCGGCCTTCGGCCTCGTTCAAAAATCCAGTAAGGACCTCGGTCTTGAAAATTTATTTACACCGGCCTCGTTCAGTATTATATAGTACTGTGTGCCTATCATTGTAAAAATGTCAAAATGTGCATGGAACGAACGTGTGCGATTGTCTTGTTAGAAATGAGAGAGCAACCTGAATGTGATTGCGTATGACTGTTAGATGGATGGATGCTGGTCATCGTCATCGTCATGCGTTTTAGCAAACATCACCAAGGCCATTCTTTGGCAACTGTGATTGTGTCGCATGAATATATGAATAGTTACCTCCTGGTCACCAAAGGCAGTAGCAAGCCATTCACTTCAGGGACTACTTCCTCTTAGAAAGTTGTACTTGTACCAGCCGTTACACCATCTGTATTGAGGTCGATGCTGCAGTCTGCGATCGTGACTTCAAAAGTACAGTTCCGAGCATCAACACGTGGACAGAGGAGGTACGGTGAGGAAGCCGTCCAATTCTCTCTGGAACAGATCGACACGGAAAGTCCCAGCGGGCTACGGGACAACACCGACCTTCAGGGGCGTTCAGTGCACCGGAAGATCCGGGAATATTCGCTACGAATTGGCGCCGACATTCCAACTCATAGGCCGCAAATTTGCAGTTTGCCTCAAGCAACTATCCGCCGTTGGCTGGACTGGCTTTCGATTTATTCAAGGAACAGAACACGGTTAGCAAAGGTAATCGCACGTAACAGTCTACATTCTGTATTTTTAATGACTTGAAATAATCAGCTTGCTGCATCAGGAAACCGCAGTTTGAGTAAACAAGACGCATCTACACCGTGACTCTTGACTACAAGCTATTGACGATAAAGACGGTTAACACTACTACACATCGTCACAGAACAGGGAACGGTTACGTAACATGGCGCGGGCACATTAAACGAGCTCTGTGGAACAGACAGCGGCTCACTGGAATCCATCACCACCATCCCAGCCTCAGCCCAGCGCGGTCTTACGATAGTCCCAGGCCTCACCTCCAAGGAAACGCCTCCTTCGACAATATCAACACCTTCCATAAAGCGATAAGAAGCGTTATTGTTACACATTACAAAAATAGCACACACACGCATACAATAGAGGTGGGCTGTTACATAAGCTCTGTGTCGCTCTGCGCCGCGCAGCTCGGAGCCACCGCCGACAGCTACCTCCTGGCTCTTAGCTTGGAGCCAGACTCTTGGCTCGGAGCTGGGCTCTTGGCTTATTAAGCTCCCGCTAGATGGCGCTAAGGACGCTCATAAAAATCCGGCTGCAGCACGAACTTTGAGACGCGGGCGGGCACCAGCTCACCGACATAGGTGGTGCGGCCGTCGGAGGTAACGGCTAGATCGTGGGGCTCGTTCAGACCCTAATGAGACACAAATGATCGCTGTCAGATCATGGGGCTTGTCCACACCCCATAGTTCACATCCTTAGGGGACTCACGGGGTCAGTCAGGTCATAAGTCTTGTCCAAACCCTATAGGAACACACGGGGTCATTCAGGTCATGGGGCTCGTTTCGACCCTGAGGGGACACACGGGTCAGGTCATGGGGTTCGTTCAGGTTCAGACCAAGATGGGACGCACATCATGAGCGGCGAACCTCGAGACTCGCTCGAAACATGAGGCAACACACTGAAGTTCAGATCATTGCACTCATTCGGGCGTGAATAGTTGCGCTAGTATCATCGACATCAAGAGTACTTGCAACCATTGGAACAAACTGCAGTGAACTGGTGCGATGGCGCGGAAAACCAACTGAGACTCTCGCTCGCACCGATAACCGCTCGTAAAGTCACTCAGATGAAAAGCGATGAGATGAGATCCTCCTACGTGTATCCGGTTTCTAAGAGCATTTGGCGTGAAATGGCTCATGGTGGTGGTCGGTTAGCCCATTCCCTGTGCCGTCTGTCATTCCCAGGTAAAACGAATATTTACGGTCTTACACAGCTGCACGCGAGATTTCTGAGTAATGTAGGCGAGCTGGCGAGCCGAAATCGCCGTGTAATGGAGGATTTCCAGCAGCTGTGCACAGGCAGCGCTCAGCCCACGGCAGGGGCGCGGCTCGGGTCCAGAAATACCCGTCCGAACACCGCCATTCTTTCTGAAACTCCTCACACGGCCACCATCCCCGCCCACCGTTCAAGTTGGACGGCTCGACATCAATTTCCGCGTGGGCTATAACGGTATGACGCCGAGCATTGTCGCTGTACCTCGTCTAATAAACCGTGATTGAACGAGTAATATCCGTCAGTGGGGGGAAATCTCAGTGATGTGTTACCCAGAAAGAAGCCATTCCGCGCAGCCCTTACTCATCGACCCGCGCCATGTGGGGTTATGTGCCCGGTACTGATCTTGTTATGAGCACTCGTCAGCGCCGTGCTATTTTGACCGACAACAGGCGGATGGGAACGATACTTGGTATCCCTCACAAGTTCTGAACCCCGGCAGCGCAAACCTATGCGGTCCCTCAGAACTTCCATCAGTCTTATCAGTCTTTCGACCATAGAATCAGCATATCACCACTTTCACCAATATCACATCTATCGTAATGTGTCTCAGCTATCCCATACTATTTCATCTGTCCCACTGTGTCGCACCTGTACAAACTGCGCCCCACTCTCCCCCTTGTCCCACGGCGTATCATCTTCCCCATTGGCCTCACTTATCTCACTGTGTGTTAGGTACTGTCTCGCAATATCTTACCTGAGCGGCCACCCAGCTGTCCAGCACCAGTCCGGTGACCAGGTCGATGGTCAGGACTCCGCCGTGTCTCACTGTCTCACTTATCTCACTGTCTTACTGTTTCTTACCTGAGCGGCCACCCAGCTGTCTAGCACCAGCCCAGTGACCAGGTCGATAGTCAGCACTCCGCCGCCCGACAGGCTCTTGAACACCGCCAACAGCACGTCTCCTGGGGGTGCAGCCAGGCGGTCAGTTGTAGCGTAGTTGTAGCTGATATGTAAGATTATGTAATAGCCACGTATGCAATTATGCATGCATATTGCATATCGCATATGCTTACTTACTGGCGGAGGAAGTTCGAGGAAGGGACTCGAGTTTCAACTATATCTAACGGCGATTGAAGACAGAACAATCGGCTATCGCTGTGCAATGCGCAGTATCCATCGTGTCGGCTGGTTCTGTAGAGCGATACGATCCTTGCAACTGTGATCGTTACTGACGAGATATCCAACGTAAGAAGATGGATGTATCGAATGATCGAGGAAGTTAACCACATGGCGGATAAAAGCATTCACATTTGAAACGACTTTCAAATTTCAATATAGCTTGTCGTTTATGACCATGACCAATAGCCGAGGCCCAATCAGACCCGTCCCGCCGTTTACCAGCGGTCCCCGGGCGCCAGCCCCGTCTGACCTGTGACCGACACGGCGTAGATGCGGCCGTAGAGGGCCAGGTTGATGACCTGCGGCTGCAGTAGACGCTGACGGATGTTCCAGCAGACCACTCGGCCGTGCTC